AGGTCTTAACAACACTAAGCTCAGCATAAGTATGACCGAAGCTAAAACATGTAAGCCTTACTCTCTCTAGTGCCCAAACAATGCAAAAGAAAAATAAACTTGAGCATTCTGAAAATCATCTCATTGATATTTAACTGTATTTACTTGTTCTAAGATCACAATCTAAGTAATCATTGATTTTTATGTCAAAATCTAGTGCTGTGAAATGTCATTTTGTGTCTAGTTACAACACATAGAACAGGGAGGCATGTCGTTGAAAAGAAACGTACATGTGTCATTCCAAATAGACGCTCAGAAAATGTGGAAAGTAACACATCCTTTTCAAGCGTGCCTGTGTGTGTGTGTGTGTGTGTGTGTGTGTGTGTGTGTGTGTGTATGTGTGCGCGTATTAAGTGTATGCACATGTGTAGTACTGAGCTGCCAGCTACCCAGTGGGCATGCATGGCTTGTGTTAAGCTGCTCAGAGAGTGTACAGACCGCTGTCTGTGTGTGTAGTACAGCTCTTCTCAGGACGGTGAATCCTCGTGTGTTCATCTCAGTCTTTGTCCGGCCTGCTCCTCGCAGACTGACGTGCTTTATCATCGGGGTGATGTGAAGCTTTCTCGGGGTACAGAGTGTCAGCAGCGTCCTGTCCTGGTCAGAAGAGCAGGACAATGAACCCAGCAAGAAAATCACAAAACACTGGTTCCAGAATACATTATGTAGACTTGAACTGGAGCCGGTTCCTTTATACGATTAGCTGTAATTTTCTGTTTACCAGACATGTTATCTAAATTGATGCAAAAGCACAGCCACATGAATAGTATTTGGTCAAGTACACTTGTTAGATTGCATTAGATTCTCGACACATAAATATACCTGCAGAACTAGGCAGGTTCAAGTAGATTTAATAAACAGGACAGGAAGTTACTGTACATTTTTATTGTCTTGTTGATTCTACAATTTATAATTCAATTTTACAATAGTTTACATTCTTTCTTATTATAAAATTTGATGCCATGACAACTTTAAATTGATTTTAAAATTTTGTAGGATTTTCTGTTGGGTTCCTGCAGAGCATTTTGTCCAGGCTCCAAGGTTATGGAATGTTTTTATCTTATCCACCTGGCTGCCATAATTGATTTATGTCATACTCAGTGTTGGGAAATAATACCCTATAGCAATAGGAGACATTAATGACCAAGACAAGAAGTCTTTGGGCAAAAAGTTATCCATATTCTCTAATTATTTTTGTGATAAGCAGAATAATTGATAATAATAACTACAAATATCTAAATAAATTCAAGTAGAAAGTCGATTTAATAACACAGGATCATGTGGATTCCCTCCGAATTATTCTGCTAATTAGTTATTACAAGCTTCTATAGTATTGGTAATGAAGCAATATGCTCATTCTACTTGTGCTTCTTTGGCACTGAATGTTAATTAAGGTTTTGTCTGCTGTCTAAATTCATGTCACTTTATTTCCTAAGAACTGTTTACATTGGGATCATTATTATTATTATTATTATTATTATTTTAAACCATTAACTGAATATTTAGTGTCAGTCCAATTGTCACTTTCACCCAGCGTCAAACATCATTGCTGATGATCTGATGATTTAAAATGAAGGAAAAAATAGGCTTTCCAACCTGAGTATGACCTAAATGAAAGCATGGCTGCCATTTGGGAAAGTCCAGTAGGCTCCTCTGCCTTGTGCATGTGAGGCATGGTTTCTACAGCCCTCCTTCATGCTTGCTCTCTGTCTCTCTGCCCCTTTATTCTCTTCCTGTCAGATCCCTGTTTATCTTTCTGTCTGTTTCATTCCTCCATGTTTTGGTGAAGAAGCATGGTATTACATGTGCTTGTCAAAGGCTTAGTAGTTTGGGATTTCAGGTGCTATGGGTCAAGCTATATGAATGCAAAAAAACGTAAGCCGATATATGATTTAAGATGGGTCAAATGGTACTCAGAAATCATTTTAGTGTTTTGTTTTAGATAGGATGGGTGCAGGTCACCACACAGGACAACAATTAGGACAAACTGTTCATTATATCGAAACAAAATGCAACCTGTGAAAACCTGAATTGTCCTAGTGTGGTTAACCACCACCCACCTATACCAAGAGTTATTTGTTACTGCTGTTTGACCCAGATCAGATATTGTCATTCAGTAGGCACATATACACACATGAATGCACAATCTGACTGACATTCCACCATATGCAGCTCTGTATTAGTGTCAGACACTCATTAAAAGTCAGCAAAGTGAGTGTTGAGAGTGTCGTCCTTCTCGCAGCTGAGGATGGACTCCACCAGTCAGGATGCATTAAATCTCACTTCTCTTCTCCTCTTTCTTTCTCTCTCCCCCACTATTTTTTATCTCTTTTCTCCTTATCTTATCACATCCTCTCCTACCTTATGTTCTACCTATCTGCCTGTCGCTCTCCCTGTCTATTTTTCCTTCTCCTTCGTCCTCTCAGACCATCACTGACACCAGTCCGATGCGTCGCTCCACCTCCAGCTTGGTCCACGGGCGTACGGGCCGGGGCGTGAGGCTGGACGACTACTCCCTGGAGAGGGTGGTGTCTGAGGAGGGGAGACACGGAGGGCGCAGACACAGGGACAGAAGTCACCGTGCCTCGCAGCGCTCACTGACTAGATACACCGACGCAGACACGGGTGAGTCACTCATAGTGGACATCTATACGCTATGTTTAATGCCCACCGGAAATCTGAAAAGCTTCTGCACATCTACAAGTAAATTCTATTTCTAATCTATTTACTTACTGTGGGTTACAGTTGAAAGTAATGAATGTCTGTTTGAGAGCAGCAGCATAGCTCTTGAACAGATAAGTGGTGTGGCTGTAGGGCAGTGTCTGTCTGTCTGTCTCTTAATTTAATACCTGGGACCAGAGACCACAGTGGCTTCACTTTTGGAGAGCTGTCATGTCGTCCATCTTTATAAATGACGACGATTATAGCCGAATGAATGAATTCTGCTTCCAAGCGTGTATAGGAGAAAAAGATGCCCACGCACCCTATCTGGAGTGTTTGGTTTGTCCTTTTTGTGTTACTTGAGAAAAATGGCGGTTCAACATGGTGGTCCTGAAAGAGGACCCGCTCTCTCTGTAGGTAAAAAAGGCTCATTCTAAGGTAACAAAAAACAGTTCTTATTTTCAGGTGATTATACACTAATGAACATATACCTATAATATATTGCACTTCTGCCACTAGATCCTTTTAAATGTTACACACTAGACCTTTAAAAATGAATGGTGGAATCACTGTTTGCTTGCTAACTGTGCACACATTTGCATGCTCGTGTTAAAATTTGCACATAAAATTACACAATGCGACACTCACTTTAAGGGCTAATGCTAAATGTTCTATGTTATGCTGAAGTTAGTGTTGGTGCGAGCATTAGTATGTGGCATTTTAATGATGTCCTAAAATGACCACCATACAGAGGATAATCAGACACTGTAGCAACATGCATTGCTGTCTTTCTAAATGTTTTTTGATACTACCACTCAGGTTGTATAAAGTCAGAGATTATATACATTTTACACATACTTGCTTTAAGGTTTTATTAATAAGACAATGTTTTTGTGCACGCCTTGGCTGGTTTCAAAAAGAGGTCCTTCTCATGTTCTCCCATGAGCCGTGTTTGCAGGAGCACAAGTTCCTGTTAAATGATTTTCCAACTCAGTGACCAGACAAAGCAAAGCTAATAAGAAATACTAGTTCTTAAAGAAATGAATGTACACAGCAGTACACAGTCGTTGTGTCTTTAATGGAAGTGCAACACGAACACAATAGGCAGTGTTGCTTTACAGCTTGGACGAGGGCAACTCAGAAGCAGTTGTTGAGGCAATTAAGAGCAATCTGTGCATTATTGAGCTAAGAGAGCAGTGTTGTCATCATATTCACTAAATTTATGCGAGTCAAGTCTTGGCACAAAGAAGTCCTTGAGAAGAACATTGTGCAAGCAGATAGCCCACTTCTTATTAATTGCGAGTACAAATTGCATGCTTCAGCTGTAAAACTAATGCAACAAGGCTGGCACAGCTAAACTCTAAATCCCCTTTATAATTGGAGAGCTCTCTAATCTGATGGAGGAGACTCTCCTCTGCTTTTCAGACTCGGTAGTGATGATGGAGTTTTAAATTAGTTTTCTTTGCTCTACATTTGACTGCACAGGTGTAGTGGATTTTTGCGTGGATAGGCATTTCAATTTTTCCTCCCTTTTAAAATCTGGTACTTCAATTGTTTTAGCGTGTTTTCATTTTCATTTAAATCACTTTTTCCCATATGAAAATCTTTCTTCCGCTAAAGGAACTTCTGGGATATGTTTTAATCTTCATTTATGTGTCCTCACCTCTGGTAGCTGAGGTCATGACAAAAATAACTAGTGATGTTGTATTTACAAATGTAAACTGAGACATCTCCTTGGTAGGCCTGGGCACAGACCTGAGCACCACCACGCAGTCGGGCGACCTTCCACCAAAGGAACGCGAGCGAGACCGCGGCCGGACCAAGGATCGTCGTCACCACCATCATCACCATCACCATCACAGCTCCATGGACAAGGAGCGCTACGGCCCTGACCGCCATGACTACCCCCAAAGGCACCCCCATGACCGCCACTGGTCCCGCTCACCCAGCGAGGGGCCTGATGGAAGAGGACACAGACAGGTGGGCTCCAAAGACGCCGAGATTAAAGCCAAGGGTCATAAAATATTAACACTGTTAATTTCCATATATGTACAATACCTTAAATATAGTTTTTTACTCAATACAGGTTGGATAAAAGCCCTAATAGCCTTAAGGTATTCTATACTGTCATTATGGATGCTTTAGTGCTGACGATGGTACTTTACATCATACCTATGATCGATTTAGATACATTGAATCTCAGTATACACGTTACTAGGAGCTGAGGTGAAAAGACAACGATTTCTTAAGAGATCCCTAACCTTTGCCTTATGCACCCACCAAAACCACAGTTCTTTTATCCAGTAGGAGTTCAAAATCATACACCTACTTATGGATTTCAATCTCTCTTTTTTGTGTTATGCTTTTTTCTTTATCACTGTTTCTCTCTCTGTCCATTTTTCTTCAATGTGACGTGTGGCTTCTTGGTGTCAATTTTTTGCCTCATCACTATGTTTTTGAATGATTTTCAATGGTGTTTATCTCTTCTCTATCTATCTATCTATCTATCTATCTATCTATCTATCTATCTATCTATCTATCTATCTGTCTGTCTGTCTGTCTAACTATCTATCTATCTATCTATCTATCTGTCTATCTATCTATCTATCTATCTATCTATTCACCACCACTCTGCTCTACTCTGGTCTCTGTTGTTGTTGTGGTGCGTTTTGATTTTCCTTGTTTACATTTTGCTGTAGGGCAGTAGTTCGGTGAGCGGCAGTCCGGTCCCCTCTACCTCGGGGACCAGCACTCCGCGGAGAGGCCGTCGCCAGCTACCCCAGACCCCTGCCATCCCCCGTCCACATGTCACCTACTCCCCCGCTGTCCGCAAGCCCAGCTACGGTCCCCCGGGGCCGGGCCGACTGCGTTCGCCCTCCCCCAGACACTTCTCCCCACCAGACCACGACAGGGGCTACCACCACCGGCCCCCGTCACGCCACGCTTCTCCACACCACGGGGGTTCCTCATCCCGGCACGGTTCACCGCGCTCCCCTAGGCACCAGTCCCCGCGCTCGCCCCTCCACGGCTCACCTCGGTCCCCTCATCGAGGCCGCTGGAGCGGGCCTCCGCCTGGGGACAGCCTGGAGGGTGACGGGCCATTCTACGAGCGCGACTACGAGTATGAGCGGCACCATGAGCCCCCTGCCTACGAGCAAAGCCTCTCCCACGGCAACCCACACCCACATGGGGGAAATCCTCACCCACACCCACGCTCACCTAGGACTGCCCGCCACGGGCCCCCTCCGCCCCCGCACCCTCATCCACGTAGGGTGCCCAATGGTTACCGCTCATCCTCACCTTCTCCACATCGGCGGGGACCACCAGGGGCGCCCCCCCACCCACACCACCGCCCTCCCCATGCCCGAGGGCCCCGCAAGGGCCTGCATGAACCTTATAGTGAGACGGATGAGGATGACTGGTGCTAGCAACCACAGGGAGCGAGGGATATGGGCAGGAGAGGAGAAGAAGAATAGCAGCCTCCAATGCTCTGGCATTGGATATGTAGACTTTTAATAAAGCAGAGGTGGTGAAAATGTTGGGGGCAGGGCTTGTGAACGCCCTCCAAACCCTCTACCTTCACCCCCCTCGGACTCTAAATGAGAGGAAAGGGTGGGGTGGGGGGGAGCGGGGTGAAGGTGCTGCAAATAGCCTTTTACAGATTTTGTGTAAGACTAAAATCAGTGACAGAGCAGCACATGGATAATTGAAAAAGAGACAGTCAAGACAACTAGGGCAAGACCTGGGCACAGTTTACCTCTGCCTCTCTCAGTCTCAGAACTACACTTCCCAGAATTCTATGCTTGACCAGCAAGGCCAGGCTGCAGAAGGAAGAGAGAAGTCTGGGAACAGAATAGCGACAGAGGACCATGTAAAACGGCCAGGGATGATCGCGGTTCACAAGGTCTAAAAGCACTTCTCCAAGACTGTCGCGTGATTGGTTAGTCTTGTCAGATGTGTGCTATCTGTCACTGGCCAGTCTGCTAATGTAAAAGCCTGAAAATGAGCTGGAACACAGAGTCCACTGCTTGACTCTGCTCCTCGAACAGATATGTTTAAAGAAAAATAAATTAAAGCAAAAAGCCAGGACCCCCTAACCCTTACATGCCAAGCTATGCCTCCAGAAAATCAAACTTGAACAATGAAGAACAAAATGAAACTTTACATGACAAACAATGAAAAGAAAAAAAGGGAGAACAACCACTTTATCTTTAACCTTTTTCCTTTCCAAGGGACAGAACCAGGAAGCTCCGCCTATACTGCAAAAACCAGCCAATCACAGTGCTGGCTGATATTTGATGAGTTTTATCATCTCTGTTTACTGTTAAAGACTCACTTAATGCTGACGGAACTGGTGTGACATCACTTCCTGTCTGGCGGTGGTGTTAGTGGAGGGAGGCGGGGCACGGTGTGGGCTCACTTCCTGTCCGAGTGCGTAATGCGGGGGTGGGCTCAGGTAACTTGAGAAGGGAGCCGGACACTTCGTCAAGCCCCTTCCTCCTCAGTTACTCAACCTGGCGCAAGGCGAAGGACGACCTGACAGGAAATGACATCACACGGTTGAATGGGGCGGAGGAGAGGAAAGGAGGGATGGGGAAAAAGACTAATTTCTTCAGTATTTCTTCTATCAATTACTTCTCCTTCTTGTTCTTCTTCGGACATTGGAGCTTGGTTCTTCTGTTGCATTCGCTCAGCCTCCTTTGATCTTTTTCGGAGTCCAAAATTTGATGGAAACCTGCATGATTGATTAAATACATACTAGAGAGGAAATCTAACTGGTGTGGGTGGGACCTGGGGGCTTTATAGGAAACTTTGCATTTAGGTTTACTAAAGAAGTTCTCTTCTTTCAGACTCTCTCTCTCTCTCTCTCTCTTACATCTCAAATGTAATTTTCATTTACTTTTTACCCGGAACAGGTTTTGACAGTCGGCTGTTTTGTTCGTCTCAGTTTTCTGCCGACAGGGTTCAAAAACGATGTTTCTACAACCTGTTAAAAGACAGGAAACACTGCAGGATCACATTAAAGTTTCCTGTTGTGATTGAGAAACTAGAGGGAGAAAGGGTGGAGAGAAGCGGACTTCTACCACATTTAATTTATTATTGTTAATGATGATAGTCTTATGAATAATGATATCAATGTCAATGCAAAATGACGATGACATGATGATAATGATACTGATGATTGATTGATTGATAGAACTGTTGCTGTAGATTTGTTGTCATGTTATTTGGAGTTTAAGTATGCTATGTCCATCTTGTTTACATCCGTTATGTTTTTATCCCCCGCGTTCAATGACGTTTACCGGGTTCCTGATGCCTTCCTGCAACATTTCGGGGCAATGACGGCTTGGGAACATTCACTTAGCAGCGTTGCGCGTTGTAACGCAACTCTTAAGATACACTCTTTCTTCAGAATGGTGGAGGTAGAGGTCAGGGGAGCTTCAGTACCTGACTTGCAATGATTTATGGGGTCAGTACTCTGGTCAAGCCAACCCAAAGATCAAGAATTCATGCTCAGAGGCAGGAGTAGACCAGATCATTGAGAATGTGGAAGAATCAGTCTGCCTTTTACACTGCAGAGGTTTCATACAACCCTGTTTTACTGAGGTTAAAATTCTACCATGGTTGAATTCTTCCACTTGCAGCCAAAAAACTACGAATCTCAATCTTTTCCCTCTGTCGGGCGCTGTAGTTTTGTAGTGAGATTGGTTGCCGGCAGTGACAGCACAGTATTGGTGGTACAGTGTTGGTGTCAGTATTAGGTGGTGTTGTTCTCTTTTTTGCCACCAGGGGGCAATTATCAGCACACATTATCCGCCCTGCCTTCCCCCTCTACAGGACAGCCTCCCGGCCACATCCTGGTTTCTAGACCTGGAGTGGAACCGCCACTTATACCTGTCTCTTATATCTTTGTAAGATATATAGATGAAGTCCAGTCCTAGTCAGGAAACGTGGATGTAGCTGAGGAGACGCCATATCTGTCCGTTTGTCGGTCCGTCCTTTTGTCTGCCTGTCTGTGCCAATGCTGACCTCCCCTCCAGCCCCTTCTCTCAGGTCTGGAAAACCAGAGAACAGCTACCGAATCACCAATCCAATCAAATGAGGTTGTAGCAAAGCTGAAACCTCTTCTGCCAAAACCCACTTCACTATCCACCAACCTCTCTCTCCACATCTATCTTTTACCTTTCTGTCCATTTGCTTTGACATCTGTTCTTTCAGCTTGCCAGAGAGCGTTAATGAAGACACAAAAGGCATTACAGGACAGAAACACGTAGGAATAATAACTTCATCCTTATTGTTATGAGGGACAACAATTATTGAATATTCAATAACTCTAGGACAAGATGATAAAGTATAGATAAATATAGATGATAAACTACATATAAATCTAGATCTAATGCAGTAGCTGTAGTTATAGATAACAGACAGAGTATAATTAGAGTTTCAGATATTTATTTATTTTGCATACCGTTCATGCTCATGACACGGTTGACGATCTAGCTACTCTTGAAAACTCGCACTGTTTTCTTCGCAGTCGCAGAAGCCAGAAAACAAACCCCAGTCCACGTGTTTTGACTCTATGCAGACCTCATGAGCATCCTCATTGTATTATTTCGGAGGAGAAACTGCAACGCTGTGGTACCGTAAAACAGAATAATGAGACAGGAACACATGGATCTGTGAAAATGTGAAGATCGACACCACGTTTGCACACGTCACTCGACATCACACCCACAACCCCTTTCTTTCACATACCTCTGTCGCTGTCCTCCCCCCTCCTCTTCCAGATGATCCGTTTTCCCTCACCATCTTTTCTCCTCTCCCGAAATGTGTTGCCTCCAGGCCTACTAGTTGAGCATAGCATAGTGAGGATTGGGATAGGGGGGTTTTTTGTTTTTGTTAATTGGTTTTTTTGTTTGGCGGGAGTCGAGGGGCGCAAACCCGAAACCCCTCTGCCCTTGCCTCCCATCAAGAGAGGTTATGGCAAGTGGAGACGCTTCCCCAATAACCCCCTACAGAGCCACAGTGCCTTCTGTATCAGAGTCACATTCATCACCTCCCCGATTTTCTCGCCCCTAGCTGCTCCCGTTTAAACCCCCCCTTACCCTCTGTAGTAGTTGAGATCAACCACACTACGCCTTAAAAGTCGAGTCCCACCGGCTCCCATGCTAGCATAGAAACAGGGAGAGTGGTGATATTGAGACTGGGCCACGGTGAGGAAATAGCCAAGAGGCTAGACTTGAAATGGGGAAATCAATATCACATCCAGTGTGGGCTTAACTGCTTAAAACATACACAGTTCCCAAAAATCAAAAGAGATCCACACAGTTTGAATCAGAGCTTTGTGGGTTTTCAGTTGTAAAGATTCGGATGGTCACCCTTGGTGTACCGGATGCTGCTAGTAAGCTATCCCTCTTGGCTTCACCTCCCTGTCAGGCATTTTGTGTCCATCCCAGATATGTCGTGGGTCCAGTTTCAGGCGGTGTAGTGAGAGGTTTACGGAGGTGCAAAGCAGTTTGCTTACTTCTCAGGTCCCTCTAGAGTTAGGTAGCTAGATAGTTAGACAATGTAGGGAACAGTCAGCTACAAAACAAGCAGGCCTTGGATTGAGTTATTGTATGGTTTTACCTGGCATGGCGTCAGACGCTGTAATGTTGACCCCCCCGCCACCCCAACCCCCTCCCTCCTTTCACTAACCTGCATTACACACTCTGACCCCTCACCTCGCCATCAGCAGCCTGCCAATGCACCAACACTTGATGCCAAGCGTGTTGACGGACAGGCAGCAAAAAACCCACCTCCATTTTGGCTCCACCAAAACCACTCGCTTGTCCAGAATTGTAACAGCGGATCCAAAATGGCCGACACACAACACTGCCCTTGTGTGAAAGCATGTTGTGTGTGTGCTTTTCCAAGAACAAATCCCATTCTTTGGAGAGAAAAAAAAACAGTGAACATCTGATTCTTTCTTTCTTTTGGTTTTTGTTTCCCTGACTTTTGTGAACGGGGTTGGGGGGGATTGCAAGGTTTTTGCTCAGTCATTGCTTCTCTTCACATCTGCTGTCTGCGTCTTCACCTCCAGCTTCTGTCTCCCATCGGTCTTAACCTCGGACTAATCATTTTTTTTGCTTTTCTTCTCCATTATGGGACGAAGGAAAAACTAACAAACGCACCAACCCATCCACTCAGTCGGCTGTGAAATTGTGTCAGTGGGTCAGTCGTGAGGCAACGTGTCGACAAAAACACGAATAAGGGCTCTCTTTAAAAAAAAAAACTACACAGTGGGTTTTAATGTACAGTAGTGCTGCCAAAAGTTGTGCTTATGTAGCTGAAGCCACGCTGTGGTCTCCCCTTTGTACAGCACTAGATGTGTGCATGCGTGTGTGTGTAGGGGGTCAAGAGCGAGGCAGGGAGGGTGGGGTGGGAGGGTCAAAAGACAATGAGAGAGATTTTAATGATGCAGGAGGGTCCTGTTTTGGGGTGGAGTTTTGGGGAGGGGAGGAGCAGCAGCTGCAGAGGTCGTCGTGATGTTAACACACAATTTCACAATGGCACTGGACCACTTTTCGGGCTCATCCTCATGCTCAGAAGCCATTTTGTCACCATCACCTCGCCCACGCTTGGTCCCACTTTGAGGGGGGCAGGGCAACTGCTGCGACAGGGAGACATTTACTGTGTGTGCGCAGTGTGTGTGTGCAGGTGTGTGTGCAGGTGTTTTGAGTGGTGTGAATGTGTTTAGGGCTGAAATGTATTATTCTCATTATCAATTCATCTGGAAGTTTATTTGACTGATTAATCAAATAGTCAAGTAGTCTATAAAATATGTTTTATATATTTTTAGTTGTTTTAGGTCTATCGGTATATATTAGCTGACGAGCTAAACTCAACTACTCAATTTTTGTAACCCACGATGCTCAATATGCTACTCGATATAATAGTATTTCTTTTTATATGCAAAATAATATAAAATATAAGTAAAACTAGAAAATAATGATAAAATTAGGAAGGTGCAAATGATGGTGCAATGCTAAAATGATTGTGCAGGGTGCAGTTACTGGAAGACCAATTACAAACTAAAAAATAAAAATACTGCACATAAAGATGTGTCTATGTTGTTATATGACTATGAAACTGCCAGCCCATTAGTGTTCATTAATGTGATAATGCACATATATAAACAAATAAATAACAGTAAATATCACAAGCTCTGAAGAATCAAATCACTTGTTTAACCTAACAAATACTTTAAAATCCAAAGATATTTAATTTATAAACCTTAAGTTATAAATCCTCCTGAAACGTTTTTTTTCTGTGGGTTGATTAATCAGTTAATCAACTAATCATTTCAGCACTAATTGTGTGTGTGTGTGTGTGTGTGTGTAAGAGGAAGAGGCTATGTATGAGAGTGGACTTGCATGTATTTGTCGGTTTATTATTGTGTGTGCGTGTGTGTGTGTGTGTGTGTGTGCGTGCGTGCATATGTCCATACACCATCAGCTACAGTAGGTAACCCTCAGTGCCTTACACTGTACAGGACACACTGATTTCTCCCTCTGAGACGATCACAGCGCACACGTAAGATAATACCGTCTTCATCATCATCTTCATCCCCCTCTCTCCCTCCCTTGACCACTCCTCGCCTTCCTCCGGGATTCATTGAGTCAAGCCTGGACAGATGAGGGTGGGGATGGAGAGCGGAGGAGGTTCAGTAGATAATCATGTCATTTCCCTCACCCATTCTCTCTCATGCCGTCTATTGTATATTTTGGCTCTGTAATTATTCTGTATATAATCCATAAACTTTATGAAAAACTCATTGTTGTTCATCTGATGTTCATTAGTTCTCTCGCTGTGTTTCATTCTTCCTCCTTCTCAGCATTTTCACATTGAGTTCATCTTTCTCTCCTCATCCCTCCTGTAGTACCATTCATAAACACAAGGTGGTGGGATTGAGCTTTCGCCATTATCACTCATTATGAAATGTATACTGGTGTGTCTGTGTGTGCTGTTTAGGTTGAATGAGTTTATGCTTGCTGCGTGTGTCTGTGAACGTCTGTCTGCAGTGTGTGTGTGTGTGTGTGTGTGTGTGTGTGTGTGTGTCCAGCAGGTATTAGGGGTGAATTTCTTGATGATTCCTGCACATTGATCTCTAATTCATTCACTTGAATGAATAATTGGCGCTCTCAGTTGATATGAATGTTATGTAGGAAGAGTGTGTACACAGAAGAGAAAACAATGTGTTAGCTCCTCCGTAAAATACAGTATGTTTAAAGCTGCACTAATATATTATCGCTGTAGGAAGTGTAAGCAAACCATTAGCTATTGGTGCATCCAGCAGACACAGAGCAACATTAGCATTCATTTGCCGTTGTGTTTGTGTCAGTGCATTAAAGACTGTTATTTGTGCTCCTTTGAGCTATGTTTTGGTCTCCACCGACTCCTACGAAAACCTCTGGGTTCTTAAGCTGCAGAGATGTGTACCAGCTAGTTGCTAACTTTGCCTGCAGTTTAGCGCTGGGCAGAGTGATCGAGGAGTACTGGAACAACATGTTTGAGATTTTACTAATTAACTAATGCACTAAATGTGTAAACTTAGTGATGCTTTGATGGAATGAGTTCGGTAATTTGTGTGCACCTCTGTACTGACAGGATGACGCTAGCACTCTGGGTGCTCCTTGTTGCTCCTGCTGTTAATTTAAAGGAACTTATCGATGCGAGGAATCCGTTTTTCTGCATGTGATCAAAACTTTTATCCCTGATACTTGCCGGGCTCAGTACCTTCTGTGCTGATTTACGATAAATACGATTCTTCTAAGACATGGGTGAAGTGTCTCCTGCTGTCGCCATAGCAACCCTCAAGGTCCCTCTCACTGTTTCTATCTATCTCTATTTGTCTCTCTCCCCCCACCCCCCTCTTTCTTCTCCATTTGTTTCCATCACCATCCATCTGGTGAAGTTGCTTCCAGAAGATCCGTCCACGTCTTGGCGTCAGCGTTCCGACGCTGGAGACCGATCTCTCCCAACGCATCTCTCCCAACACATCTCTCCCAACACATCTCTCCCAACACATCTCCAGGTGCCACAAGATGATGAAATCAGCAGGATCTTTTTTTTAACCCTTTGTAGCACAGATTTGATTATGTATTATTATTATTCAGAGAAGATTTTAGGGCCCTCAAACCGAACAGGGGAAAGTGACACATCTACAGCCGCAACAGATATCGACTCATTTTATTCATTTGACTTGATGGGTTTAGGTCTGCACAGGCCAAAATGAACTATTAGCGCCTTTTTTCTGAGAAAGTAACCTATTTGATATAAGTAAAGATTAAGGTGTCAAAAGAAACTTAATTCCATTAGCCCAAGATTAGGGACATTTCTCTCTTTTCCTGTGGCATTCATACCAGTTTCCACTTAAAATCATATTTTACTTCATGTTACTTTACAATTAGTAATATCACAATATACACTTTATATTCCTTTATATATCCTTATACATGGCCCTACTCCTTGGTACTTTATTACAGCTAGGCTTATATATACATGACACATGGTGAAATAGTCAAACCTGGTCAAACAAGCAAGCTTAATAGTAAAAGCTTCTAAGTACACATGCTTGTTGGGAACATGAAGTGCAACCCTCCCCCCACCCAAAAACAATTAATGCTGAGATGGCCAAAATCTAATAGTAAAAAGTAGCTACTAAGGGTTAAATATCATTTCAAAGGATCCAAATACCAGAGGAGAGAAAGTGTTGTCAGTGCAGAGATGCATTGGGAAAACTCTGAAGCAACTACCAACCATCCATCTCATCACCCCGCAAACCATCGGACACTCGACCCAGTAGAAACCGAACCAGTGCCACAGTAGAAAACCATACAGGATTCACTCAGCAAGTTGGGGAAAAAAGAGAAAAAATAAACATACATGGCAATTTAAGATAAAAGAGAAGTATTTAATTACAGATTTGCATGTGCAATGTGCATGCCACTATGTGGGGTAACAAGTCAACTTCAGGAATTAAAAAAAATAAATATAAAGAAAAAAGTATATATATGTAAAAATATATATAGATAGATGTTTTTAAGAGCAATGTGTTTCTTTTTTCTTCTATTTTTAAAAACAAAAAATTCAAGAAAACCCGACCAAAAAAATACAAATAAAAATGAAAAAAAAAAAATCATCCTGATAAAAAATGGAAATGACTTTGGTGATGAAATCAAAGAATGTTTGTTTGTTATATTTGCCAGATATTTCACGGGGGAAAACCGTGGGGGAACAAGGATAGATAACACTTTAACTAACATTACAAAAAAAAGAAAAAATGATTTTAAAAAGAGGGAGAAGGAATACAAAACTTTTCCTTGATGAAAAACAATCCCTTTGAGAGTAAAGAGCTGCCTGAACCTGAATCTAGTGATGTTATTCCCGTTTATTCCGGCTATGAAATCCCTTCTTTCTCTCTCCCTCTCTCTTTCTCTCTTTCTCTGACCATCTCTTTCCCTCCCTCTGTTTCTTTCTCTATCTCTGCTGTTTCTACCAGTGCATTTTGTAATTTCAAACAGAACTCTTCCTAAAGAACCTGAATAAACCAGAGAGAATGCATTCTACCCATCCTCCTGTCTGCTTTATTGATCCTGCACCCAGTCTCACACACACACACACACACACACACACACAGTAACACACTTGAGTAGTCAGATTACACACAGATCAGTTAACATCTTCATACTCCGATTATCCAATTACAGGTGCAAAATTGTTTATGTAAAATTCTGCACTTAGCTTTCTTTGACAAGAGCTGGATGAGAAGACCAAGACCACTCTCATATGTGTCCATTAAATATGAAGTTTGGAAAGCTCTGCTGGTTGCCTGGCAACCTCACAGTAATGATAAGACAATTTACATCTTACACCACGATACCAAGATATAATGTGTTCATTAGTTAGCTTTAGTGGTGTTAGTGAGCAGTTTTTGTAGCCAGATAAAATAAGTGTATTTCCCAAAAGGTCTATAAGAAGACAAAGGCAGGGTGATAAAGGGCAGTACAATTCTGTAAAAACTGTCAACAATACTCAATTGATCATGAGAAGAATATTATGTGTAATCTTGAGTTGTCTGATTATGGAAACTGTTACCTATTTTGAAATACAAATACAACATGAATTAAATTAAATGCAAAAGTTGTGAAATGACGCATACACTATATGATTTGTACTTGGAGGTGGCGTTTTGCAGAGTTGAACTCTAACAGGTCAGTCTGGCCATGTTCACAGGGATAATATTGTAGTTCTTACTATTACTAGTTTTGTTTATGTGACAGCTGTAGGTACATAAATTAACTATTAAACCATATAATGCCAAATAAGTCAATAATAATAAGTTCAGCCGTTAATGCAATGGATTATAAATATACTGATATCAAAATCATCAAAATGAGAATTGTTTTATTCTTCAGTAAATTATACATTATAATATACATACACACCCCTTCCCGCTGCTTTAGAGGCTGTGCTGGCCGACCTCAGCAGGCATTTGGCTGACCGGCATCTTTGTCTTCAGTCTTGTCTTGTGATTTGTGTTAATCTCAGTTTAATAAATCTTGTTTTAAGCAAATCTCTTGTGTGGACTCCCTGCTTGTCACATTCCCTGAGCTAGTTTGTGACTAATTGTGACTAACTAGCTAATGAGTAGAAACATTTTATAATGGAGTCTGAGTAAGAATCTGTTTATATCAAATTAAAAGAAGACTATAGTCATTTACCAGCAGCAGTATTTTGCACACCATTATAAGTCACCTTTAACCCCTTTAAAAGTGCACTTAGCTGCTTTTTAATGAAGCGTATTGAAACCTTCTATATGTCTTTTTTTTTAACTCTCATACTTACAATTTATAGGCCTCATTGCCTTAAACGGAACCCCTCATCAGAGAGGAGATGAGTGCAGGCAGTGCTCATTATGTTGTGTTTTTTTTAAACCCCAAAAAAAAAAATTTTTAAAATTTTTTTTTTTTTCTGAGATGCCCTCTGCCTGAAGGAAGGGGCAGGCAGTTTGTTTGTCTCTGCAGAGAGTTAAAAACCCCTCAGAGGCAGCCGACTCATCGCAGGTGAGACGTCCCAAACGCACCGTGGCTGCTTCTCTTTCTGATTAAGAATTTAAAACATGTTGAAATCAAACGCCCCCTCACTGAGTGTCCTCAGACTGCCTCCCTCCTCCTCCCCCCTCCTCCTCCTCCTCCTCCTCCTCCTCCTCCTCCTCCTCCTCCCCGTCTACGTCTACAACACTGCGTCACTGATGTGGGCTGTGCAAGACACACACACACACACAACCATTTGCTGTGTCCTACACTTCCCCCTCCCTGTGTAGTCACGTTTTATTGACATCCTTCTTCTTTTTACCTTCCTCCCCTTCCTCGCATTGAATGCCCGCTGCTCTTCCTGCAGAACCTCCGTCTCCTCACATCTGTCCTTCCTCCTCCTCTCTGTCTGTCTGTTTTCCACCTCCTCTCACACACACTCTGGGTGGCATCCAACTGACCCCTAAATAGGCTGAAAAACACAAGAAGAATTATGCTCTGATTAGATTTTTATGAAAAAATGCAATTATCTGTGGGTTTTAAGGACATTTAAAAACACTAAAAGCATCGCCTCTAGCCATTAGCTTGCCTACTGCTTTGTGAACACACTCTCACACACACACACACACACACACACAAACACACACACCAGATACAAGCACACACACACAGTCGTACAAGGCCAGATGTATTGGAGTGCTCTGTCCTGCTGCAGCTGAGTCTTAAAATAGACTCCTCCTACACATTCTGTCGCCCAGCGGCATCAACGCATCACTTCCTGTCTCTGCGAGCTCTGCTGCTGCTGCCAGACACACACACACACACACACACACACACACACACACACACACACACACCCACATATATATACATGCAGGCGTTTTTACTCATTCACATTCATAGTTAGTCAGTCCTCTGCTATAATGAAATGTCTCATTCAGTCACACAGTCGGCGCCGTGAGAGGCGTGAGGTCATGTGTTCACAGCCTCTTTACATGTGATACTCAAATGATTACACACACATACACACACATACACACACACACACACACACACACACAGATACAACACATAATTACTTCCCCGTCATTTCCAGAGAAACACACAAGCAACCTTCTAATCCAAATTACTTCCTGTTCACAGAAACAGTCTTCAGTTGTTCAATATGGGTTGTTGGAGGCTAATATTAATTCTGACTTTAATTAATATATTTGGTCAAATATCTAAAACTGTACCATTTGTATGCCATGTAATTACAAATTGACTCTCAGAGAATTTAAATCCTTTAATCAACGGATTATTAAAATCTGTGAAGGGATCACCACATTACATATAGCTCATATGTTTATGGTCGTTACTTATAGACTGTATGAAAATAATGTGGAGGGAGAGGAGGACAGAAAGGGGGGGGGTTTCATATTTTTTATGTTTACTGAGGGGATGGTAATCTTGTGTTTTTTTAGAGCACTGGAGTGTCTTTTAATTTTTACTAACCCCGAATTAATATTTCAGCCTTGTGAGATTAAAAAAATAAAAAAGGATCAAATAATCACAAATAATGGCTGTCTTGTTTCCAGTCTTAATTTTTCCATGTCCATCCAAATCTAGTGCAAAATTGTATCAAATTTCTGTCTGCAAAAGAAATGCTGATTAATATATGTTTCCATCTACGTACGTTAACGCCATTTTGTCGCCATCTGATGTTTCATCTGTTTCCATTACACACTTTTCAGCGATATTTCTGCACTTCCACTCAGGCTTTTTCAGAAAATGTGCATGAAAGGTTGATGGAAACACTATAGCTAATGGGACCAGTATGTCAGGTATGAGAAAGACATACGCGTTAATCTTTATTAATGATTAAATGTTCTCTACAGCCATTTCTTCCTTCACTGTAACCTGCATTATAAGAGAAATGCCAAATGTATCACATAAAGAATGCCTTTGTTATAATTCAATTTTTTACTGAGTATCTCTTATCTATGCTTTTCCTCTTGTTTTGTTTGAGTGTTTGTTTTCTAACTCCAGGTGATTGTCCAAAGGAAATATTAATAGTGCTGGGGAAATTCTTGCTTTTTTAAATAGTGAAATATATGCTTCAATCAGCCCCAGATCACTTACCTACTTTAATCTTTATTAATCTGACAACCAAAGGTGGTTTTTCATTCTGTTTAATGACACCACCAGTGTAATGCTGTGATCCGGTATAAATTCTCAAACAAGCATGTAACCAAACCACATTAACGTCATCATAATGGAGGTATACACCATGAGATACACGATCAAACACCCTCTATGGCCCCCGTACATCTGCACACAACTCCCTCGCTCTGATTGGTCACACAGTGTCTCTGCCTCCATCACAGGCAGGAGCGCGCCGGTCGATACATGCATGCATCCTGTGTGAAGACATTTCCTGCTCTGTTCTTTTTTTAGCTCTGATCTGTTAGAGCTCCACGTCATTGTGACTGTCTGGCCTCTGCACTCTGCATCTTAATCAGACTACCACATACATGGCAGTCGCAGTACAGGATTGGTCCAGGAAACCCATCACTGCAAACGTGTCTGCAATTTGCTTATAGCTGCTGCAGTGTATTATGCAGTATGCAGTATATATTTATTTAAATAAAACATATGTTTGTGTTGCTTGAAATGTTAGAGGTATATTGTTTTTACTGCATTGCAAAGAGTAGTGCTAGTGATATTTTTCTTACTGCTAATAGACCAACAATAAAATGATCTTACCGATACGCAGGCTATTGTATGTGTGTGTGTATATAAAGCCTGATACAGCTCATTCATCTGTGCCAAGAGCTCCATTGTTTCCAAAAGATACTGAAAACACATCAATGATCCTCACTGTTGAGTGACATGTTCCTTCATTACCCCCCACACACAGACACACACACACACACACACTGTAGTTTATTTCGACGCACTCCCACATACACCGTCCTGCTGCAGGGAATACTCACTAGAGCACCGCTATGGATTAATCCCCAGATGAAAAGAGCAAAAATATCAAATGCACTGCTGTTTGAGTAACGATTGTTAAAGGTCCAGCGTGTAACATTGAGGAAGATCTATGGGCATAAATGGAATATAAGATACATAGGTATGTTTTCACTTGTCTACAGATGGAGTCCACCATGTTCAACCGCTATTTTTCTTCAGTAGCCCAAAACGAACAAACCAAACATCGCCTGTTGATAGGGCCCTTTGCGAGTTTCTTGATGTTCAGTTGGTTGCAATCTGCTCTCTCATTTCTAGATGCCACTAAAATCCTACACACTGGTCCTTTAAAACCCACAACTCCCAGCTGTCTTAGAAAATATATGAGCCTTTTGTTGAAAATGAAATGATATACCTATTTTAGATTTACATCTTAAAACTAATGGGCTTACACACTGAAAAATGTGCAGCATAACATCTTCAAACATACAACAAACCATATCCCAACATTTGAGTAGCTGGATCCAGCTAGTGTTTGCTGTTTTTTTAGCCATAGTTAACAAGCAGCATCGAAATTGAAACATCTCAACATCTACTGGAGGAATTGCAGTGATATTTTATACTGACATTGATGATCCCCAGAGGATGAAGCCGATACTGGTGACCTTTCAGCCACCTGCTTGACGCAAGACCAGTGTCACGTCTTAAGTAATGGATGGATTGCCATGAAAAAAACCTTCATGTTTCACTTGACTTGACTTCACTTCTCATCTAGCGCCACCGTCAGGTCAAATAGCTGCAAAACTGACAGCCTTCCCGTCAGCTTGAGCTGCACTTTGCACTTGAATTGGGTAATTATAGCATGCTAACACGCCGAAGTAAGACAATGAATGTAACCATCAGCATGTTAGCATTGTCACTGTGAGCATGTTAGCATGCTGACATTAACCTTTAGCTCAAAGCCCCATTGTACCAAAGAACAGCCTCACAGAGCCGATAGCATGGCTGTCTTGTTGACAATTTAAAAATGGCCAAATAGGCAAACTAACTAAACAGCATTCTTACGTACAATAATACAACAGCAATAAGAGTATATCAGTTATTACTGTAATCCAATTGAGTATGATGAGCAGACAGTTAGAGAGAACAGAGAACCAGTGAGTTTGTGTCCAATTGCTTACATGCTGTAGAAACAGCATTTTGTTGTCTCTATTTTTTTAAATAGAGACAACATTAAAGCTGCAAAACACTGCGGAATAAAAGGAACAAAATAATCACACCATTCGTTTCCTTGAAAGGAAGAATTTGCACCTCTGGCTCCATTAATGCTCTTTTCAACACGCCAGTAATAGCACAAGCCTGCAAATTGATATAAATAATAACACCAATAACAGCATGTCCGTGAGACACAAATGCCGTTCGGTGATTAGGAAACCTGAGCCAGAAAGAGTCTCTTTTTAAAATATGTTTGTGATAGGCTGTTTGAATCGAGCACATGTTCTGTCCAAGGACATGTTGTATTCTTATTTAAGTGGCTCTGTGGAATATTATGTACTACTGCTGTTCTACCTGTCTGCGGATAACATGCAGCTTTCAGACAAACAGCCACTGAAGCTCGGCTCTGAGTCTCTGCTGATCAGTTAAGTCGTAGATGTAATCGATCCAAATCATGTGGAGCGCTAATGTGACACATCTGAGGCTCACAAAAGCCCTCGTAAACAAAACGGGATGTTGCTTAAACTGGACAAGGCTTTTTTGTACCACAGAATGGCCAAAATATGAGAAAGATAATGATCAGTGCCAATGACTGTACGGTGACTCAGTCAAAGAGAGGTTTCTTCCATTCAAAACTCTCTTTCCCGCCTCTGCTCATACTCTCAACTGCTCAGCAATGATTAGTAGGACATATTGAGAAAACAAAACTCAAAATGGAGTTATTATGTTAAGACCACGCCTCACTCTCATTCAGTTTCCTGTTACCACACAGTTCTCACATCTCTCCACCCAAATTCATTTGCTTTCTCTGTCCTTGCCTCTCTGATCACAGTAACCACAGTGACATGATACACCTAATAATATGTTATTTCATCAATTTCATTTGAATAAGTGCCATTGTCTTTGTTAGTGAAACCATTTACCATGCCTTTTATAGGACACTGCATGGCTTAAGTTCTGATTTTGCAAAAATGATAAACACTATTACACCCTGGAATCATCTCCAGCTGAATAATTATTGCTGCTTAAAAGAAGGATTTATACGTGAGTTAAAAAAATTAAAGCTCTAACCGCCTATATGACCCAGATGTTTTCATGTTAAGCTAGTGACGTAGTTGGCAGATCAAGGTCACTGTGATAGAAATCTCATCGGGGAGTTTATGTGTACATTCATGTGCTGTGTGGCTATTATGTGGCATTAACACTCACAGTGTGATGATGCAGCTGCTGAGCCTCTGATACGAAAACAACATTCATAAATGTACAGGTCATAATGAAAACACAGTAAAAACCAGTATCGGTGGTTCCCAACCTGGGGGTTGGAATCCCCCACTGAAAAATTAGATTGAAGGCATCAGAAGTAAAACAATCTCAGATCTTTTCTGACTTTTCAAATGATATGGCTTTTTTCTTGTGAAAGCTCACCTCTTCTGGCCTCTAGAAACCCTTCAAATAAAAACAAAAATCATTTTGGATGAACTCCTGTCATGGGGAGTCACGAGTAGACTTTGTTTCTTGAGTTAGTATACTGTATTCCTTTGTGTATGCTCACTCATCTTATAAGGAGAGGGCACATACAAAGGAATACAGTGATGATGGGAAGTGGCTTAAAAAGGAGGGAAATGAAGGTGAAGATTATTAGTTAAAATGATTAGAGCTGAAAAATTTGTTGGTTAACTGGATTAATTGACTGACACAATTTCAGACATTTTTCAGGAACAAATTGTGGAAAACTGACAAATATTCTCCTTAAATTAGAGCATTTTCTGTCTGTCTTTGTCACACATCATTGTAGATTAAATATCTTTGCTTTATGTTTTTTTTTTTTTTTTAACATTTATTGATTAGCAGACAAACTGATAATGAAAACAGTCGTGGGCCATGTTCCATGTTAGTGTATAATAACCAAGAAGGACCAGAGCAATAAGTTAATAAATTAAGGTGATATATTATAAAGAATCCTTCTCATCTAGACGTCACAAAGTTCTTCACAATAAAAGGCAGACACAACAGGCATAAAACTATAAACACATTAAAAAGAAGTTTCAAAATAAAAATGAATTCCACAGAGAGAGAGTTCTCAAACTTTAAGAGCATTGACCTCAAAGGCACAAAGTCTCTTTTGGTTTAAAGACAAGGATGAAGATGATTTAACAAAACAACCCCAAGTCAAGGTCCACTGATGTAGCTCTTTCCAGTGATGTGAACCGTATCACACAGTCTTATCAGCGGACAGCGCTCGCTCAGTTGCCATGGAGATGTTCTGTTGATATACAAGCTCAGTAGCTGTGAGGATTTCATCCATAGCTTTTGTAGGAGTTTTTTGTAAAGAATAAAGTTTCATTCTTAAGGATGATTATGATGATACCGGTGAAAACAGCTGAATAGGGAAGAAAAAGAAGGTGAAGGTCAGATGGAGGGAAAGAAGGATGACAATGAAGCAACCCCATCATTCCTTTTATTCCTTTTATATTACCTCCCTTCATCATTCCCATCACGTTGTTATTTCTTATCTCCTTCCTCCTCTGTCTTCATCATCAGCTATTTCTGCACTCACTTCCTCAACCCAGCTCCCCCTTTAAAGGTCCAGTTCAATACTCTGCTGTGTGTTGTGCCTGGACTGTTTTCACAACAGAGAATTCTTAAAAAGTAAAAAAAAAAAAAATGAGCAAAATGACAGAAGAGTCTAATCTGTGGTTGAACATGACACATGAATTAAATGTTCATGCTTGTGTAAATGTTCATAGTACTCGCAGTCTGTAAAAGGAGCACGCTGTAGTAAACACACACGCTATGACATGACACTTTACCATGAGTGACACCAAAATATCCATCAGATATGGGGAGAAAGAAAATTCAGTCTCTTTTGCCACATTTAAACAAACTGGTGGCTTGTTTACGGCCCGGCTGGTTGTTAGTGTGGTGAGTAAAATCTTTAAATGACAAAAATGATGATCCAAACTACAAATATAACATTCATGGTTGTAATAAACCTAGAATTACCCCTTAGGGAAACATTTCATCCGACCTTTAAGGGATGAAATCATCATCATTCCTCAGTTCTTTATCATCATCTCTATTTGTTCACTTGTTCTTCCTCTTCTTAGCTCAGATGCTGGTTTAATATGCTGGGAAGAAGAAATGAGGATGATGATGATGGTAATAAAAACCTGAGCAACCTGAACAACCAGCCCCCACTGGGTTTCAGGGTGTAGTTAGTTTCCAGTCATCTGGCAGGAAGCTGCTGTTCATAAAGAAGAAGATGATGATGATGATGACGATTATGGGGATGATGAAGAGGCCCTCAGGCTGTAAACACTACCTGCTGCACTCTTTGTTATGCAGCAGTGGTGTTCTGCCCCAGCTGCTGCGGTGACGTTGCGTAACTCTTTTATTATCCCTCTTTGAATCGGTGTCAGGTCATGTTGGGAAGGAAGGATGTGATTCAGAATTCTGTCATAATCCACAGGAAATGGTACGACCCTGGAAGCTGCTCGTGGGTGTGGGAGTGTGTGTGTGTCTGTGTGTGAGTTGGTTTGTTTGAATGTCTTAATGTAAGCATGAGATTAGCGGCGGCAAGCCAGACTGGCGCTGGGTTGTACCAACCTCCTCCCTCTTATAAAGGATTGACCTCGCAAACTGTGGCCTAATATAGACCAATAGCCCTTTTGATTTGGAAATAACTGAATTTGGAGAGGTGTGTGTCAGTGTGTGTATGTGTGTGTGTTACTCAGCAACATCACATAACCCTTAAGTAACTGCAGAACAAAGAGAGCAGGACAACTGAATACTCTTCCAATGTGTTTATTAGACATATTTACACCATCACTTCAGTCACGCAAATTCAAAAGCAGCTTGGAATGTGAGGTATTTTTTTTCACAGGTCAAACATGAATTAAAACATTTCAGTGACATGAGAACACAACGTGTAGATTACTGGGCTTCCAACACCATATGGCCAGCCTTTTCTTTTTTTCCAAAGCACCATGTGAACACAGTATACAGGACAGTCCCTAAGCAGTAGCATTGATTTATCAAAGTCCACAGCAGCAGTTGAATGTGTATACGTGTATAAATGTGTGAGAGGCAGTGAGTCTGCCTCAACTGTCCTTCCTCTTTCAGTGTTTGAGTCTGATATCTCGGCACAAAGGCAGGAAATTCCCTGAAGTCCAAGGTGTGTGTGTGTGTGTGTGTGTGTGTGTGTGTGTGTGTGTGTGTGTGTGTGTGTGTGTTGCTCTGTGGTCAGCCGTTAACCACTTCACCTCTTCTGTGACTGACTCACATCACTCTCTGCTGATTCACACATACACACACTTTGAGTCAGCAGCAGATACTTGTTTGGACTCATTTTACTGGCGGTGAATCACCGTGAAACAAAAAGCAACACAGTTCCCCTTCAGTTTCTTCCTCAAACTTTCCGGCCCGTTGCTCCCTCTGGCCTCTTTCAGTTTCTTCTCCGTCTCTTCTTGTTGATCTCTGTCGGGGCTTTACCAGCCCGGCAGGCACACTCAGATCGACCGGAGAGCTCGCATCATGGCCCGGGTAATCCCTTTGTCCCGGGACCGCCGATGTAGGTCAGCTCCTTGGTGCGCCAAGGGATCAAACTGCCCTTATAGGTTAACGAGGAGTTGAGTCACTCCGTTCCAAAGTCCCATTGGAGGTTATTTTCTCCCCCCGTCTGTTCAGAAGGCAGGTATAACCCGATTTAGAGACAAAGCGGTTAGGGACTCCCCGGCCCCGGCGCGACAGCTGCCAAGCGGGGCCGCATACCTCTCCTCCCCGGGCTCCAGCCTCGCCCTCTTGCTGGGAAGGAAGTCAGGCGCCGCCGACGCCTTGCCCCGGCGTTTCCTGGACTGCCTCGTCGGGCTCAAGTTCTCTTTGTCCTCTGTGATTTCACTATCACTGTCTTCCTCAGCAGAGTCGGGCTCTTCTGAGGCCAGCTCGGCTGAGTTCAGTGCCGGCTGGGGCTCAGGCTGAGGCTCGGGCAGCCCGGTTAGTTCCCCCGGGTTGGAGCCGGTGTCCATCGGCTCCTCCGGTGTCGGCTGCGCGCAGCTTGGCCCCTCGTTCTCCCGGGAGGAGTGGTAGATGTCCCGGGCAGACCTCATGACCAGAGAGAGCAGAAGGCTCCGGTGGAGTCTCAGTCCTCCTCTCTGGGTCCTGGAGGCGTACAGCTTGCTTATCGACACGGCCAGGATCCGTCTGGCTTCGGCGTTCACTTCCATAGCGGCTGTGGCACTCATTGTTGTTTTTTTATGCGTAATTACGCACGGTTGTTTTGGCACTTTCACCAACAAGCAGGCGAGCTTTATCTGTCCTAAGTTAGACTTTAGTTTCTAGTTTGTAGTCTGTCTAAGCTCGGACTTCAGCTGTTCACCAGTTGTTGTACTCAGAGAAATGAGAGCGTGCGAGTAGCAGGGTGGCGTTTTATTTCCTCTTTGACGTAACGTGGACTTCATTCCTCAGTAAGTGACAAACAGGCGCCGCCCACACCTGCTGTAGCTGCGGCGAAAACACACACACACACACACACACACACACACAGACACACCATCTGTTCCGTCTACCGGTTTTTCTCACAGTTGATCTCTTTTATTAATTCGATTTCTGCTTTTGTCCAAGTCCTTTCTCGCTACTGCAGCTCCTTGAATAAAAGTCTAATTTAGTAGATTTTACTCTTAAAGGTTCAGTTCCACATTTTGTTCTTGTCTCAATTTCACAATTTAACAGATTTTACTCACAAATGACTGTAAATGTATTTGTATAATCACACCGTGGCATTACGGTTAAACCAAGATTATTATGAGCACAAAAAAAAACCCCATTATTTATAGCGCATTTTATTCCAAGAAAAGCAAAAGGTATTAGGCTACAGCTGTACCTGTGTAGTGTATTAGAAAACCACTAAAACAATCAAATGTAATAGGATCTATAAGATATTAAACTGCCGATAAATCAAGTTTCTGTAGTTGATTCTGGTGCCTCTAAAATGTAACATAGGCTACAACTACAGTACTACTGCAAACTAGTGTTTCTATTATGAATTCTATATTGTACGGTGATGTTTCTTCCGGATAATACATTTTATTTTTTATAAGCAAGTTCTACATGACACACTCTTTAATATAAAGTCATATTTCTGCCTTAAAACAGACCTTCAGCACAACAAGGGGAAGTGTTTGACACGTTTACTGCGCAGTGTTTGAGGAAGTGTTGTTAAAGCGATCGGTGGTAAATATGAGGAGGAGATCTAAAAGAGAAAAGTTCAGTAAGAGAGAGGGGGAGAGAGAGAGAGAGAGAGAGAGAGAGAGAGAGAGAGAGAGAGAGATTATGTCAGTGTTTACATTCTGATAAAAAAAAAAAAACCCAGGCAGCAGTTCGAAGAATTTACGTGGGAGAAAGAAACGTGTCTCCAATTTCTCGGGAGTTTCTGCTCTCTGTCTCTCTCTCTCTCTCTCTCTCTCTCTCACACACACACACACACACACACACACACACACAGATACACCACGTCACTCACTTGCACGCTCAGTCTCCATATATGGTCCATCCGGTAGTAAAGCCCCGTGGGGACGCGCACAGTGGAAAAGCCATGACGCGAACGCGCAACCGCAGCTCCCCCCTCCCTCCCCCCTCCCTCCCCGGTCCTCTCAGCGTGTACCCGGGCACAGCGGTGATGGCGTCATCTCTGCACCATATATGGAGTTGTCACCGGTGTAAATTAGGTTACTAAGCAGCGGCACGGCTGAGGTCAAACTGCAGGCGGCTGTCAGTCCCAAGCACCGTGATGATGCTTTCAGGTGCTGTTGTAAATCTAATATTTGTAGATTGACTATGAAAGAACGGTGCACATGCATTGCAGCCGAACAATGCAATTACGTTTCTTTCAGTAATACGAAATATATGAAACAGAATAAACAATGACCACATTTAATATCAAAGGGTGATAATAATAATTGCAATATTGGTTTTGCACATTCTTTCATTTTTGCACATTGGTGCAAACAAAAACTTTGATTTATTTGCTATTGATACAGTTAATATGACAAGGGCAATGCACAGTGATGCTCATTGTTTATTCAGTATGTAAATAAACCACATTTAGCCTCAATAAAGGCTACATTTCCTGGCCCTGACCCTGTGCCTGGCCAGAGGTCAAAAAGGCAAAAGTGACATAATCTGTAAAATTGTGATGCTAAATTTACCTCCTGGGGAATCAACCTTTTTTTTAATAGAATAGCAAATGAAAAACAAAGTAAAGGAGTATTGTGGAGAATGAAAGTATGCCACACTTCTTCTTCTTCTTCTTCTTTGTACATGCATGACTAACTCCGCCTGTCATATAACTGTAAACCAGTGCTGGACAACTATTCATTCAGTGTGCAAATTCCACTTGTTATCAGAAACACTGGCAGTCACCGCCCTCAGTTTGTCCGATGCTGCAAAAACATGCCAGCCGTAACCATGGAAACCTTTCCCATCACTACTTTTCCTTCCCACATGACGTGAACATGGCATCAGAAACACTAACACTATAATGGATACCAAATGTCTCAACAGCAATTAAACCAAGATGTTATAATTCATCTGACGGTGACAGACTACAGTGCAGTTTAAAAATGAAAACAACTGTTATTGTTGAGAAAAACAGTGACCTACTGCTCAGAAACCTTACTTTCTTACTGCATCTGAAAATGCTTTAATATATATCGTCTTTAAAATCAGATTACAGATAGAAAGCTTTATCCTTGATTGCATATTTAAATATATACATTCTGCATTGCAATGCATTACAATATCATAAAAAATGTAATACTTGAACTTTAATCGAAAATATAATTTTGGCCATGAGAAAAGCATACAATCTAGCCTTACATGCTACTTGAAAGGTTACAAAGGGGATTTATGCTCAACCCTGTCTGCATTCACTCATCATATTTGGCAAATAAAGGAGACATTGTGAGATATAAACTGATGCATTCATATATGTTACAAGTTTTAATCAGACTAAAGCACAACCCAGTTTGCACTTTAAATGCACGTTGGATGAGTAGCTCTTTAAGCCGAGTGCTTCTTAAGCAAAGACAACAACCAAACATGACTTCACTTCAGGTCCGTACCCGACTGGTCGCTATGGTGACAATGTTATGTGTGATTATACTCACACTGCCTCTGCCCAAGGCCAAATGGGCGGTGTGACTGTATGCATGTGCAAGTCTCTGTGTTTGTGTGTGTGTGTGTGTGTGTGCAGAACAGAGGGTGGGGCCTGCCTTTTCACAGTCTTACAGTATTTCCCTCTATAGTATAAACATTGGTTGGTAGGACTGGGAAATGACTTGTACACAATGAAAGCATGGAAACTGTTGCCACAATTAACATTAGATAATGGTAAAAAGGGTCAGCTTCCACACACATGGGGGATGTTATAACACTGTTGGTTGGCAGCATGTTAAAGCTTTAATAGATTTTAAAGGACCATAACAGTGTGTGCACAAGTTTAAGCTCCTTAACTACAAATCAAGTGTTTATTGCTTGTCATTTTTTAATGCAGGGTATATGTTTTTTGGGGTTTTGGATGTGTTTTTCCAATAGTTTCAAGTGGCCATTAGGTTAATAATTTCTGTAAAGCTGAAAGTCACTTAACAGATTCTTGAAAGTTGCTTGAGATGTATAATCATTCATAATGAACATGCAGTCTAAGGTATTTGTTTTCAATGTTACATTATTGTTGTGCAGTTTAAAGCGACTCTAATATTTTTATATTAACAATAGATGAAAAAACTCTGTGAAAGGAAAGCTACAGATAATTCTTAACCAACTCTTAAGCTCTACAAAGTGTTTTAGCGTCTTTCAGCTCAATGTTTTGGCTAAAAAAACCTGCTGCCATTTGTTTAGAATGGGGATAATCGGTTTAGGCTATGGCGATGGAGGCCACTGGGGAGGCTGAAAAAAAGCACAGCAACCTGGGCAACCCGACATCACACTGCGGTTAAGGTGATGATACTGTATGTCAGTGTTATTTACAGCTTATTGCATTGCTCCCAAGCAGCCAAAATATCATTTAATGCAAGTTTAAGGTCAGCCTAAAATGAAAAGTCTGCACTGCATTGTTCCGTTCTGATTAAAAATATATAAAAATGCAACAAATCAATGCAGGCTTTCACTAGAATGCATTACATAACTGAAGCAAGTTTCCCGAGTCTGGTAATAGATACTAGGAGAAGAAATAGAAGATAATAGAAGAAACTGGAAACCAATGGGTGCCCAGATAGGTTTCCTGCCAGTATGATTTCAAAACACAGCTGCTACAAAAAGAAAACTATATATGTACTTGTCTAACTCATGCAAAATCACTGGATGGACCTTCAACAAATTTAAATGAATAGTTTGAACCTTTTAATATTGGCCAAATATGCTGACACATACACTGACTGTCAGTAGCACTATTTAACAAGTCTGAATGTTTTGATGTTTTCAAGGATTCTTCACAACACTGAAAAGGTTTCAGAGGGCATAAGACTGGTGGTTAAAGTGGCTGGGCCTGTTTAATTGTGCTGCAGACGTATGACGCACAGCTTAATGTTTGTTGTGGTTTTCAGTTGCATCCTGGCATCATTCACTATCAATTAATGTCATGACGTGTATTTTCTGCTTACCTTCTGTAAACCAGCTCCAATTAACTTTGTAAACAACAACAAACCAAGTAGTGACTACTTTTAAAACAACCAGTTTTTCATTATTCTCTTGCATGCATTTAGCAGCAGCCACGAGTTGTATTCATAACTTCCAAAAATGAAAGTAGGTCATCCTTACAAGGAGCACTTGAAGGCATCTAAAGGGAATGGGTCAGGATGTCTATTTATAGACTCAGCACTTCTCTGACTATTTCCCCATGCTTGTTGACTCCCAGCCAGTTTCTTTTGTTATGCCAGAGCTACTCGGTTTATTTCAGACGTTGTTTTGTTCCAGCAGAGATTTTCCTGCTACATCACTGTGCTTTAAAATGACTCAAACTTTCCACTAAGGCAGATCTGCATCCAGCTGAGCTGGACAGGAGATGAGCAGAAGAGATAAATCAAGTGAAATGCAGCAAGTGGAAAGTAACTTCTTTTGAGAGAAACACCTAAATGTTTCCTCTTATCGAGTACTCGTGTAAGGGTTTTTTGTGAGAGTTTTTTCTGATCTGAACTGAAGCTCTGAGAATAGAAGTGGTCATATGTTAGAGAGGTTGTAAAGCACTTTGAGGTTAATTTGAGATTTGGGGTTTTTATCAATAAAACTGACTTTACATATCATGTCTTGTTTGTAATCATGTTTGCTTTCTTATGTAATGGTTGTTACTCAACAAGTTATATTACATTCCACGGGCTGCATCAGGTGATTAGCCTGCAGTTCGTTTCCACTTTCCTGTATTAATACTGGAACATTGATTTATAACTGCAAACACACACCTGCAGCACAGGTCCAATTATATTGCTGAATTAATAAAAATTGATTCAGCCAGTCAGAACCAAGACTTTTCCAGGGCCATGGTGTAATAGTCAAGAAGAACTTGTGTGGGATTTGTCTACCTGATCATGGTGCAGAATCATGTGACAACCCACGTTTACACAGTATTCAGAAAAACAAAGTGCAGGGCATCGTGTCAGAAACCCGCATAAGCCCTTATCCCAACTAACTGGAGTAATCCAATATAAACTGGGGTTCTGTTGCAGACATACACCTTATGGATCTCCTTTAGGATCAACTGTGGCAATGCAGAGCATAAAATGTTTTCTCCATTATTGATCAGATGGATGAGCTAAATCTAGTACAGGACCACAGGCAGAATTACACTGCCAGACACTGAACTGTGTCGTCCTCAACTTAGTACAGAAATACCGCCTCAGTCGGTTAATATGTTTGTGTTTGTTGACACAAACAAAGTCCAAAGTCACACAGTAACATAAACAAGCAAGGTAGAATTACTGTTTTTGTCAATGGAGTCTGGTGGCTTTGAACAGAGCGATATATATAACGGCTCTTTCTGGTTAAACAAAAAGGTCTAGGGATCCTTCCATAATGTTATCAGACACTTATAATAACAATCTGAGCCCGTCAGTGGCAAACACCTTTAGTGAATGCACCTTGATGGTGTGCAATTGCCCTGAAGGATTACATTGCTGCTGGATGCAGCTCTCTTGCTCAATACTAGACAAGACTAGTCATCTCAAAAATCGTTGTTCCCATTAGTCACTTAGCCACAAAACATGGGAAAGTAGAATACCGAACTTTCCCTTTAATGTCTTATCAGTTAAGTTATTATTGTAATGCATTCTCAAGTCGATTTATTTCAAGGCTCGTGGAATCTTTATCTAAACAAATAAAGCCTCAGACTGAAGAAACAAATAAAATTGGTGTCAATGGCTTCTTCATTTTGAGAGAAACTATTAGTAACCACTGTCATGAAACTAAAACCAGAGAAGACTTTTGGTTGCTGTTGAAAAGGCTTTTTCAGAAATACATTTCTGACTCCTTCAGTGTGTGTGTGTGTGTGTGTGTGTGTGTGTGTATGTGTCAAGAGTGACATTTATGACTGACTGTGAATTTTCACAGCACAGGAAAGGAGGAAGTGGAGTGAAGGAGGAGAAGAGGGGAGGACACAGGATGAAGACAGGAAGGAAGGAGTTGGACAGGACAGGGTGGGATTGAAAGAAACCCCCACAGGAATAGAGACAAATGGGTGGGACAGGAAGGAGAACATGCAAACAGTACTGCAGGATTTGCTGAGCATGCATGTTTTTTTTCTCCAGCAACACTCTACATTGATCCACTCTAGATGTGGATCCTTTACTAATTCATTTTTAATGAGTGTTCTGTGTTGTCCAGAGAATCCCTCATCCTCTGTCACATTCCCATTTCCTTTGATTGACAAATGGATCAGATCAGAACTGTGAAATACTTTCTAGGTCTGTTTTGAGGAAGGATGAGAAATCCAATGTGTCCTATAATATCACTTTGTTAGACAACACATCATCAGTGGTTTATATAAATATAGATAATATATAGAAATTCTGGTATCACTTTGGGATGGTTTTAAGTTTTTAGTTCTGCTTCTTCAACTACAGACTGTTTAAAATTGAAATAAAGTTTGAAGGCCCCAACGAGCAGGTTTCTCTGGAGGCCTCTGAGTGTTGCTGATGAGCCACTTGATGGTTCATTAATTACATCATCATCGTTGCTTAAAAAAAAACAGAGCTTTCAATTGCATCTTTATAAGCAGATTGAGTTTGCTCCATGATTCTCTAACTGAACAAAACCCATCTGTTTAAATATTTATTTTTTATTTGTCTGGCAATATACTGTTTTCTACGCCAAGAATAAACTTTCACAGTAAAAAAAAAAATCTTTGATACGGGCAGAAATGTACATGTCTGGAGCCAATGTGTACAATATATAACCAATAAGTAGTATAAAGTGCATTGTGTTTCTGCTCAAACCTATTAAATATGGCAAAACTAAACTATATTTGACACCATATTAGCTTCAGTAGGAGACTCTCTGAGGTAATCTGTAATAAAAACACACCAGGCACTATTGACTCTCTAACATTAGAGGCATGTAGAGGCCAACTCATTTTCTGGCATGTAGGGGAGTCTATGTGGCCCTGCACCTGCATCAAGTTTTCTACATTGGAGGAGCCCCCTATAGAGGGCACTTTACGTGTTTTGTCCAAGAGCACCCCAGTGAACACTGCATCACAAGAACATCCTAGAGGGCACATTTTCTTGCACAGTAGAGGACACTTTATCATGTTTTATTTTCCATAGGGGCATCCAAGAGGGCATTTTTGTCTGTATGTAGAAATCCTACTAGTCTACTTTATCTACAGTCAAGAAACGTATTTATATCTTGTTTAGTAAATACTTGGACAATGTGTATACAAAGAGTTAAATGCAGTTCATTGCTTTCTGTCTGTATATAAATTCCTGCAATTTGCTGCAAACGCAGGCAGTGATTGCATAGATGTTACCATGGAAACTAATCTTATACAGATGTGTACTGGCAACTCCTTTTCTGTCCAACACAAGCCCATTTCTCCAAACTTCCAGACAGTCTTCCTCCCCTTTTATGTTATACTTAAACCTCCTTCACTTTAACCTCCTTAACCTCGGTGTAATACAGTTATTTTACCAGATTTGATGAATGTAGGCGGTTTGGATCCGTTTTCTTTTACATTTTACATACATGACTAACATATACATAATGCAGTCAATCCCTGGACGGCGTTGCATTGATATAGTTTAAGTGTCCTAACTATAACAGTGTATTATATTGAAATAACTGAGGAACTGTACACAACTGACACAGACTGCAATGTGTCACTGGAGGCTCAGAGCTGCGAAGTGCGCATGCGCTAGGAGTGAAGCGGAAGGAGGCATCATGTCGATAGAAGACCCATTTTTCGTTGTCAAGGGGTAAGAAATGTGCAAATTAACACCTCAAACTCAACATGACCACATCCCAATTCAAGCAATCACGCGTTAAAAGTTGAATTCTGCAGTGCGAGTTGGCGTTTTCCTTGAAGACAAAGTTACCGTAGCGAAGTTAGCTCAGCGGCTAGCTGTGGCTAACTAGCATCAGCGCTACCAGCTGCGCCGAGGCAAGTTCGCGTAGTTGATTGTTTGTTTAGACTTAACAGGAGTAAGTTCCGCACTGAGGAATCTCTGGGATTGGTTTTCGTTTCGTCCGACTGTCACTGTAAACACCTCGGGCCGCTCTGGGAGTCTGCGGGCCGGCAGTTTGCGAGGCGCTGTGAAGTTAAAGAAGGGTGCGAAATGTTAGCTTCTGTGTTTTGTTTTGGTGAAACGAGCATGCGAGGGTCCAGCTTCAGTGTGTCTCAAGGTTGTGTGTGTGTGTGTGTGTGTGTGTGTGTGTGTGTGTGTGTGTGTGTGTTTCTCCAGGGAGGTGCAGAAGGCCCTCTCTCGTGCTCGGGGCCTGTATGAGAGATGGGAAGAACTGTTGCAGGATGGGACACAGGTGAGCAGAGACCATCGTCTCCTGAATCAGTGACAGTGTTTCTTCCAGCCTCTCCTCCCTGACCTAACGCACACAAACACAGCCTGGGTTTATGGTGGCCGACAAAGCTGAGCACACTGCAAGAAACAAACAACACAAACAAATAAACATGCTGCAAATATAGCGTCTGAAATTGTGCTCAACACAAGTTTATGGGAGGAAGCTGATTAACACAACCTGCTAAGGGTATTGGAAAATGAGCTAATAGTCAGTTTAGTTTTATTCTTCTGAAGTCTTCTTAAATCCTGATTGCATTGCTATATACAAAGCATTTACCTTATACTAATTACTATTGTTGTAAACAGTTTTTAATGCCATTTTAAACTTTTTTTTTTGTATGTTTTCAAATCGGCTAACATGCTTTTTAACTTTCTTGTGTTTCATTTAGTTTACAGTGTTTTACTGATGTGATGTGTGCATCGTCATTGTGCAAGTGGTGAAGGTCTTTTATGTGCTTATGTTTTATTTAAATTTGCTGGTGCTTTCTCAAATTGCGTGGAGGCTGATTAGAGTGCCTGTTGGTTTCTGTGGTCTCAGGTGAGTCGTGATGAGCTGGACTGGAGTACCAATGAACTGAGGAACTGTCTGAGGGCCATAGACTGGGATCTGGAGGACCTCAGTGAGACCATCAGTATCCTTTTAAACAGAAAAATATCTTTTCCCCTAACGTGTCTTCATTAAAACAAACCGATTCTTTGTGTCACTCTTTCACCCTCTCCTCCCTTTTATTTTCCCACTTACTCAGGAGATGTATTAACCTCCTAAAGACCAGAGCCATTTTTACTTGCATAATAATTAAGCAAAGATCAGGAATATAAAAAGACCTCCTCAGTTGTTAATATCATCTTTACTCGAGCAGAATATTCAGGCCAAGGAGTGAACACAACCTGCTTCCTTTTTAAAGGTTTTAAAAGCTTCTTTTTAGGCTGTGACTCACGAGTGTGGGTATTATATTTTATATCAAAGGATGCCGGATATGTTTGAAAGCCACTAACACACACAATAGATTTTAACAGTGATAATAAAGTAAGAACATTCACCAGAGTTTTAATTAAGGGTTGGCATTGACATACACCAGTCAGTCAGTAAAATGTTTTTTTAGCATAATTCCGTTACAGTGGGAGTGCGAGCTGTGACACCTTGTTTTAACTGGCTGTGTGTTAAAGTACATAAGGAAGACAACATTGAAATGTTGTTTCTTTGTGTCTTTAAAGTTATCTGTGACTTAAGAGAGGTCAGATAATATTTTGGACATATTCACATATACTTTAAAAGTCGGCTCTGCAATTTCCTAATAAACTTCAGGTTTTATTAGTCATTTCTTTTCCAGATTTTGTCCCATAAATCATCCTTCAATAAATAAATGGATTTAAACATGTTGTGAAGAGTGTTAACAGTAATTACATGGACAGTAATGTTGTTGTGTCCGTTGGTGTCCTCAACTGGCTCAGATATTGTCGAGTCAAATCCGGGGAAGTTCAAACTTGGTGACAATGAACTTCAGGAGAGGAGAGACTTTGTGGAACGAACCAGAAAATCTGTCCAGGTAAACAGCAGCTCAAACTTTTTGTTTTTTATAACATGTTTTTTTCCATCTCATCTATTGAATCTTAAAGTGTGTGTGTGTATCATAATTGTGTTCCATTAACATTTGAGAATGAGATGAATTGCCTTATCAGGTATTTGATGAACTGGATTTCCTGGAAAAACAAATTCTATTAGAGGCGATTGATAAATCAGCTGCACTGATGTTGTCAATTGATATTAGTTTATATTGATTCCTGCAGATAAATAATAGTGCTGAAGATACAGTTTAATTTAGAAACAGCCATTAGATAGTTAGTCCACCAGAGAAGACAAATGTATTCTTCCATTGTAAAATGTTAGTGCTCAGTACATATCTTGGTAATAACAAAAACATTTACTGGTACTGTTGGGTCTCTGTAAATAATGTCATAAGGAGTTTGGACTAGACCTGCTCTATTTGGAAAGTGTCCTGAGATAACTTCTGTTATGAATTGGAGCTATACAAATAAAATTGAATTGAATTTAATTGAAATTTAAGGAATTCTAATCAAAAATGTGTCTATATATTATGTGTTTACTTTAAAAAAAATCCAACCTGAGACAGAAATGTCTAACCCTAAATAATACTGCATTGGTCAGGCTGTAATTTATTATATATCTTTCTATATAGTAAACATACTGTATCATGATGCATTACTATTGCATTACCCTGACCAGTGGCTGTGTCCAAAATCACTACCTATTTACTATATAGTGCGCTATGTTTACTGTCTACCATTGTATTTGAATGTCTAAATTCTAAATGTGAGTTTTATGCACCATATAGTGCCCTCACAAATTCCCACAATGCAGTGATCCCGCTTTATAGATGTGAAAATTACAGGTGCGCGATAATTGATGAGAAATAAATCAATCAAAATAATTGAATGCGCACTCTAGTGTAAACTAGTGAGTACATATTATATGGGGAGTAGTGAGTGGTGAATGGTGGTGTGATTTTGTGAGTGTTCGGATTGCCTGTATTTCCTCCATGTTGGAAGAGCAGCTGTTGCATGTGGAACAGCTGTTAGGTGCAAAACAAATGGTTATTATGTGTTCATACTGCACAAGAAAAATACAAACTGAAGCAGTGAACTGGTGTCTAATAATCTGACGTTTATATACAAGCTTTGGCTCTGCACAGAACGTGTATATTTTATTTTGAAAGGTGTTACCAGTGGTTACAAGTGGCCGTGTTGTGAGGGAGACAATAACATTGCCTGCAAGGCCTCTGTTTTGTTTTGGTGACTGAAGTGTTTCCAATAAAGCACACAGACTGTACAGGTCAGACAAAGCCAAACATCAGCCAAAGCAGCAGCTCCCACAGCTGAAGCATCGAGTAACTTGTGTGTTTTTATTGCAGTGAGACTTATCATTGATTATCCGTCAGTACCAGTCAGTCCGTTTACCTGTTCAGTTCCTGACTTGGCTGAAGGGAATCAATATCCACGCTGCTGGCACAATGGAAAATATGAGTCAGTTTCCAACACATGGGTCTTGCAGGCAAAGGTACCATCCTTAAATAGACCTGAAGAGAATTGAGTCCTCTGAGCCAAACAAAAGAGCTTTACTGAGAAGGAACAAAAGACTTTCTGACATTTTGATTTGCCGGCTGGTGATTCTGGAACAGCAGTAGAAAATCTTTTAAATGAAGCTGTCTGTATGGAGCCTGGCTCTTAAAGTGATTTTTGCTACAATTGTGAAACATTGTGGGGTGAGAATTGTAAATCATTTTCCTGTGGTTTTTGTGTGTGTGTGTGTGTGTGTGTGTGTGTGTGTGTGTGTGTGTGTGTAGGAGATGAAGGATCAGTTGTCCAGCCCTTCTGCTGTGGCTCAGGCAGAGAAGAAGAACAGACAGGTTGGTGGATGTTTAAACACACATAATGAGTACACAGATAATACACTCTACTGGGTAAAATGTAATGATTGCTCTGAATTATGTAACTCTCAGAAATGTGAGATCTTCAGGTTAAAAACCAATATGTGCCAATATGAAGCTGATGTTTTGACACTACTATCACTCGTACGGACAGGGACTGTTGCTGCTACTGTATACTATCCAATGATGGCAAAAAGACATTTGAAAACTTGGAGCTGAGTGACGTGTGAAACAACTTCCCGAATGTATTGTTGTTTAACACGGTCAGTCGACAAGGACTCGTCTATTCACAAATAGAGCTGACACGTTTGTTTAAATGATTTCAAACAAAACCACAAAGCCTAATCCTACATCGGACAGTTTACTTTAGTTCACAATTTGTCCATCTATGGTCTCCTTTCAAAACATTTCCACACATTACTTATCACATAGTCTGACGTCATGATCCTGCCATTAGCCTTTTATTCAGTTTGCCTTAGCAACCAACCATAGCCTAGTGCAGTGGTAGAGCCACAGGCACCGTGGCTGTATTAAGAGGACTGAATACCGTGTCTGAAGACGTTGCCCAGTTCATTTGGATAAAAGTTTTAGAGAAAGAAGAAAGAGTGTTTCCTCATGCTTCTGCATTTTGGGGCCCAAAGAGCATGCTCAGTAGAGCCCTCTTACAGCTGAGTCAGTTGACTTCCTGTTGGCTTCCCACACATGTTATTGGACCACATATAGCTCATTTCATTTTGGAGCATTTGTCAAGCTCAAAAAACGTTTTTCACCATTTTACATCCACTTCTTATCCAGTGATTGTGTATGGGAACAGTGCAGTTTAGACTGGAACAGCAACTGGAATACAGGATGTTGCCCATTTACGCTGCGAATTTTGAATAAATAGTGACAGCCCTAGTGGTCCCATGAGATCTTTATTACATGCCAAAATGTCTGGATGAATGAAAAATGGAGAGACAACTAAATTAAAATTGATTATCTGTACGGTGGCCATTTAGGACATCCCAGGTGCGACGTTGGGGTGTCAGACTACACGTTAATCTTTGGTTTACTTTTGTTATATTTACAGTATAATGCTAGCATGTGAATATTCTAACGGTTGCATGTAAACAGGCTTAGATTTAGTTTTAGCAGTGCAGAGTAATTGTAAGTAGACAGTTAGTTTGGAGTCTTCTGTGTTTTCTTAGTTGCTCATTTTAACAGCTTGACTGATTCAGTCTTCGCTTATTTTAACTTATATTTCACACTTGCTAATGTGTTGAACACATTTCCATCTGATACAAAAACAAACTCTTGCAGCAGCTGGTGATTTGGAAAGTGTTGTAGTCAATAGCAGCTGTAAAGCTCTTAACAAACTGTCAAGTGACATTGTTCCAAACATAGGCCTGCTTTTGCGACTGCTAGAATATCATACACACACTCCGGCTTCCCTGCTAATCTTATGTCTCGTGTGTGTCTTTGTCCAGGCTCTGCTGACTTCATCGGGCCAGGACAGATCAACGGGACTGGAGGCTCATATGGTGTCTGCAAACTCCAGATACATCGAGGAGCAACAGGAACAGCAGCAGGTAGAAGAGAGAGAGCAGGGGTTGATTAAGAAGAAGGGGAAGTTCCTGGGGTGGGAAAAGAAGAGGGGAACAAGACAGTAGCAAAAGGAGGAAGGAAGAAATCCTATTCATCAGTTTTCTATTCTCTACTTTAGATATACATTTTGAGTCATAGTATAAAGAGTGCAAAGAGGTTTACACTCAGCAGGAAATAAGTGGCCAGGATTACTTTACAAAGTAAGGCGTCTGTCTCCTTCAGTAGTCCTTCTACATTGAGTTTATTTGCAGTTACACAGGTGATTTCATGTAAAACGACACTTCATATAAACTCCCATATGAGCGCATCCTAACTGTCAGACTGAAGCTTGAAAACGTTGTAATGTTTGTTTTTTATTAGGTTATGTTGACAGATGAGGAAGATGATTTAATCAAAGGATCCCATTACAAGAATAGAAAATGAGCACAGAGAGTGTAGGATTCCTGCTGCAGTCCTTTATAGAGATGAGGTAGACGCGATCTTTATCTGCTTTACAAAGTATCACGCTGTGAATGAAGTGAGGGAGAACGTGTAAAGGTTATTTTCAGTGTCAGAGTATGAGCTGTTGGTTTCTATTTCCTGTGGTGTTGAATGATGAAAATGTTCACACATCCTGTGTCAGGTTGTGGTTGTAGTAGGAAATGAATGAAAAACATTTTGCTTTGTTCACACCTTTGATGTGACGGGCATATTACTGCTCTTGTGGAGTTTCATCAGCTCTACCAACGTGGGTGGTCTTTTAGGCAATTACGCGTTGTAATCGATAAAACGGGCAAATTCCGATGTTATCAATGCAGAAATAGATCTGAATGAAAACCGTGTTCAGCAGGAAAATAAATGGTACATTAGGAAGTGTAACTGTGTGTGTGTGTGCGTGTAGCTGATCGTGCAGGAGCAGGATGAGCAGTTGGAGTTGGTGTCGGGCAGCATCAGAGTCCTCAAAGACATGTCGGGACGCATCGGGGACGAGCTGGACGAGCAGTCTGTGTGAGTGTATAATGTATAATTCTACACAAACAATTACATGTTGTATTGTTTCTCTGCTACTCTTTTACTGCAAATAGCATTGATTTTAGTAAAGTGTAAGTCAAGTCAAACATTAGAAAACACCTACTTCAGATCTTCTCAGGGTGATTTTAGGGCTGCAACTAACGATTATCTTCATCATCAATTAATCTGCCGATTATTTGCAAAATGAATAGTTTAGTCTGTAAAATGTCACAAAAAAACCTCCTCAGAGCCCAACTTTCTCGCTAGGTATAGCAACTTTTCAGGCCCTTTATTCCAGTATTTTTTATTTTGATGATTAAGTACTTTCTCCAGAGGGCAACAGTAGAGGTTGAACTGAACGTCCCTGAACCGCACACGCAGTTTGTAAGTATGATTCCCAATAAGGTTTCCTGAGACTGTGCAGGATGTGGATGTGTGTTTAGACAACAGAAGAGGGACTAAACAAACCAGGTGTATGTCTCCAGGAAGTAGGATGATTTTTCTTACATTCCTTTGACATCAGCTGTCAGTGAACAGTGACTGAACACCCCCATGGAAACACACTGTTAGCAGTGTACACAAACTATGTCACCTTTTAATCATTAATAAACACTGACTCACACTATGTAACAGTATACCTTTTTTAGACCTTCTGACCTTTGTACCTCGCTACCTGCGGCCCCCATCATCTTTAAAGCTATTAAAGGAAAGTTCCAGCTGTCATTAAAATCTATCTCCACCCTCAGGACAGACTTTCCTATTTTAGCTTAGTCTTTACTGGCTCTATGAATACCAAAACTGTCATCAATCTGTTTCCACCAACACTTAAATATTGTGGGAAGCAATAAACGCTGTGGACTTTAAGGGTGCCAGCAATCTTTTAGCAGTTTAATCTTGATTTTTTACATCATTCAGATGCCCATACCTCATTTCATTTCTCCTCTCATATCATGTCGAGCTGTAAATGTCTGTGAAGGACACTTGATCATAATAATTGGTTTTAGTGGCTAAATAAGATTTCAAGTACATGGAGTTTGATTTGGTGAGTAGAGTAGAATAATGAATAAGCATTATATGCATCCACAGCAGTGTTTGTGATGTTACACTGTGTTTCACTGACTGTGTGCTCCTCTCGTTGTTCAGTATGTTGGGGGATTTTGGAGATGAGATGGACCAGACATCATCCCGCATGGACTCAGTGCTGAAGAAGCTGGAGAAGGTGTCTCACATGACCAGCAGTAGGTTCACACTCTCACACACAGACACACGTGACACACAGACACACAGACACACACACACACGGAATCTAGAGCTTCTGACGTGATTTCTGACTCGCCTGTAACTGATAGATAGATGGTACTTTATTTATCCCGAGGGAAATTCAAGTATCCAGTAGCATACAAAATACAAAACATACATTAAAACATAAAATATAAAATCCCTAACCTTGAGAATAGAATTAAAAATAAAATAGAAGATAAAATATAAAGTATTATTTATATATATAGATATATGTATATGTATAATATATGAAATGAACAGTAGCTACAATAAACGGTGCAAACGGTAAACAGTGCAAATGGAAGTAAGTAAAACAGTGCAAATGGATGTGCAGAAAACAGATAGAAATTGCCCATCGTCTATTATCTGTTGTCCTCTGTGCCTTTACTGAGAGCTGTTGCACAGTCTGATGGCCAGGGGGACGAAAGAGTTTGAGTCTGTTGGTGGGTTAGGTTAGGTTAAATCTGCTAAAAGTTTGGCAGTGTGCAAAAATGTGTGCGGAAAATGAGCGTGACTTATAGCTGAGTTTGTGCTTGAAAAAAGATCAATAACACACCATGTGTCAGGGTTATTATTAACGTACAGTTTTTACTTAAAATCCCAAAAACAGGAGCTGAAGCTGAAATTTTTTTAGTTCAGTGATAAATCTAGTTTCCACTAGTTGAAATAAAATTGTTAGTACATAGAAAATCACAGAGATATAATTACAAAGAACATCCACAATCACTGCTTTATTAGTAGATATCCTGTTGTGTAATTAAACACTGCACTGATTCTACGTCTGCAATCACTGATGTATTTTTACTTTGAGGAATAGTTGGACAATTTGAGAAACACGGGGAACAGTTAGCTTGGCTCTGTCTAAAGGTTTGAAAATCAGGACGAAAATATCAAACATTTCTGCTCTTGCATGTCGGCACGGCGGGTTGATCCTTGAAAGTTTCATCTCAAAGCAGTTAATCGTTACCTAGAAACAACAACAACAATCAATATGGTAATTATTCATGAAAGCAGTCACTAGTCTCAGCCTGTGTATTGTGTCTGTGTGTTCAGGTCGGAGACAGTGGTGTGCCATCGGCGTGCTGGTCACCATCATGATCGTGGTCCTAATCCTCTTCTTCGCTCTCTGATGCCAGCGACCTCTGACCTCCTGACTATGTTCAGCGACTCCTCCCTGTTAGGACAGACGGATAGATGGACAGACACAGGAAGAGGGGGGTGTCTCTCTCCTCCTTCCCCTCCCATCCCTCCCTTTCTTCACACTGAGGAGAAACCGGTGACCTGCAGAGAAAAGTCAGGATATAATCCTCCTCTTCTCAGCTTTTAATGATTCTAGTGAAAAAAAAAAAAGAAAAAACCTACTGACGTCTGTCAGTAGAAGAGCTTAACACAGGAACAACCCCGGCGGTATTATGTATTTCATACTGGTGCATTTTGGTTATTGTTGGAAATAATGGTACTGAATGGGAGGGTCCGCACAGGAAGCTGCTGCTGTCAGGATAAGAACACAAATCTGTAAAAAAGATCGGCAAATCCAGATGTGTTCAAGATATTTTCATGTCTATCACAATCACACGGACATCGGAGTTTAAAATTCACACCCAGCAACCGCTAAGTAGCTAAATTAGTTTCTGCCATTGAGTAGTGACGTTCAGAAACAGCAGCATTTGAACACTTGAGTTGTAGTTTCTTTTCAGAACTACAAAACTGTCCGTGATGAAAACACAACGTAATCTATTTTATAACTAAGTACTTATGAATAGTTTTAGCTTGTAAAGTGCTTTGTAGGACAAGTGAAAGGACAGACAGAATGCAACTGAGAACAGCTACTGTGTCCCTAATTTCAGTTGGCTGGTGAGACCCGATTTTTGGCAGAGCTGCCAGCCAAACAGTCGTTTTTGGACACTGACAACTGAATTCATTAACGGTTAGATCAAGAAAAAGGCAGTTATTTGTGTTTTAAGCTGACAGCAGCAGTGGGGGGAGGGAGGAGATTTGGGGGGTGGGGGGTGGACAGGGTTTTTCAGTGTTGCCTTAAATATATTTTTATATTGTTGTGAAATGTGCAGTGTGTTTCTGTGCCTACATGTGAATCAGGGCGAGAAATGAACACCCGAGTATAACAGTCATCGGTTGAATGAGGAGAACGGGCGCTCGTAGTTTGCCTGAAGTCTGCAACAGGACAGCAGCTGATTTCACTGACAAACACATTTCAGCCAGGATGGCAGAGCTGGTCACCTCTGAAATCAGCTGCTGTGGTGTTTGTGGTCAAAACAAACAACATGTGGACTCATAGCAGGCCTGGCACCAAGCTGCCCCGTCCCCTGATACTAGATGCTGGTTTTGCTCTACTGCCCACTTTGTCAGAAATGTGCACATTCCTGCCGCCGTGGCCAGCGGACAGAAACGGTTCATTTCCTGCCCCCCGATCGCGATCCGTCTCGGTGAGGTGAAGTCAGGTTCCGCAGCCAGCCGCCTTCGCGCCCCTGCAGGCGGTTGAGCACACAATTGGCTGAGGCTTTGTTACTCACACTGGGTGATGAGCGACAACCTTGGCTCGGAGCGAATGAGTATGCCTGTTTTATTGAAAAGCCTTAGCTAATGAGAGGACGAACAGTTGCTGGGCAGGATGTCGCCACACACAGCCCAGATTCAGGCTTACAGTGCCCTCTGCTGGAGGCTGTGGGTCATGTTATTTCTTTGTGTCATGTCAGGTAACACTGTCCATGCCAGGGCGTGTTGCAGTGCTGTATAAAGCTATACTATGATGCTTTACATTTGTGTGTAAACGGACATGATTCCTGTACAAAGGCTTTATCCAGATTCAATCTCGTTTTTAATCCTGTGTGATTTCACTCATGGTTTTTGAATTTAGTAGTTATGATATTCCCCTTGTTTTGCAGCAAAGGAGTCAAGAGGTCAGATTCCCAGGATTTAATGCAGGTGGGGGTTCAGGGATGTTTCACTGCATCGAGTCCCCTCCCTGCCAGAGCAGTTAATCCTATTCTCTCAGTAGTTCACGTGCGCTTTTACATATTCAAGCCCTTGTTCGTTAAATGCTTCAGTGGGGAAAATTAACTGAATACTTGGAAAATGGCTGCAGGCATAAATGAAGCACTTGTGTGGCTTCCACTCCAGTCCTGAGTCACAAAATAGAGGTTTGTGAAGTTAAAGGCATCCTGAAAAACTAAAGGATTTCTACCATATAGTACACCTTATTTTTCTGTAAAGTTGAGGCTGTTATGTCCTTACTGTTTGGATTTGACTGCACCTGATTTTACAGCAGGGTACTGTAACGCTGCATCTGCATGGGAGAGTTCTGTAGTCAGTGCAGTCTTTTTTGGCTTCTTTCCAGGTTTAGGGACAAAAGAAAGACTAATTTGAGGCTTTCTAGTCTTTGTTTTGTCCAAAATGGAACATCAAGGCAGTGATAACTGTGACAGAACTTCAGTCAGATCACAAGCGTGTTATTTAGCAAATCTCATCAGTTAGTTTCTCGGAACTCTTTTAGGTACATTTTTCATAACATCTTATGACTCATCTGACTCATCTTCACCTCATTATCTTCACTGTTTGTGTGTCAGTTATTGCTTTTTGGTAAAATGAAGCAAACCGTGTCGGTATTAAAGGTGGATTTGGGAAACTGACCTCTGACTGGTTAGAAACTGCTGATGTAATGAAACGTCTCCTTTAGTTAACTGAAGTGCCAATGATCACAATTTGATTTCTGTTGTTTAACCAACCAGCAGCTACACAGAGGAGCTTGAGGCTGGGAATTTTATTTTGAATGTAACCAAACTTTTTCCCTTGGATGACCTGTGTTATTGTAATCTTTTTGCTGGTGAAACAGTAAAGAGGTATAGGGAGGGGGGGGTATGAATGTGCACAATTGTATACAGTACTGGCTACCATTGTGCCCTTTAATGCCAAACAGCATATGTGTCTGCAGTGTTTAACTAAAAAGAACTACGACAAAAAAAAAAAAAAAAGGGGGTAATGGAGGCGGCTAAACATGACTTGTCATTGAACTGCTCTGCTATATTAGATACTTCCTTATCACACTACATGAAGAATGAAAGTCACATGGCAGCTGTTGCTGCTTGGACAAAAACAAAACCTACATCTGCATAAAGTGGATTGAATGATTGTTTTCTTACTGGTTCATGCAGATTTCTGAAATTGTTCAGTGAGGTTTTAAGTTTCATTAAACCTGTTCGACATGAAGCAACTGAACATTGTTTGTGATTTCTTAATCATGAGGCTTCCTCTGATGTTTTGTGAATTTAATGTATCCAAAAGACTTTTTAAACATGAATAAATCTATGTTTAGACTTGTAACTTGGGGTTTAGTTCCCCTGCTGTATGTTTGAATGAATACAGTATTTTTGGCTCCAGTTCCCCCAATGATTCGTACTTAAGGTAAAAGCTTTCACCTGATTGCAGATGTTACAGGAGTGAGTTTTAATCGAGAGGCACTCTTCAAAATGGAAACATCGCCACATCCTATTCTGAGAGCAGAACCATCATGTGAAATTACATTTACTTTAGCTGTAATGAGCGGAGCGCGAGTCCCTGGTGGCTTTATGAACTGCAGGGAGCTGTAAAATAAGCATGCAGCAGCCGGGAGCCCGACTGGTTCAGACATGCAGCAGACGTCCTGTGAAACTGCAGGAGCGAGAGACACTGAGACACTGTCAGTGACGAGCTTATTTAAATTACAATAGCACTTCTCACACTGGTAGAAAATTACTATTATTTTATTATAAGTTATACAAGACTGATATTTCGGTTTGATATCAAACTCCTGTTCTGTACTGGGAATTAACATTTTATTCTTTCACTTTTTCGCTCCCAGGATGTGACAATGTGAAAATGACATGGTCCATTTCACACAGGCTGTAAGTGACACAATTGACAGAAAATTAATTGCCAATTATATTGATAATTTAAGTCATTTATCAAGCAAAACTGCTTAACAATAGCTGGCTCCAGCTTCTCCAATACTGCGTTTGGCTTTTATATAATTGTAAATTAAATATGTGAAGGTTTTGGACAGTTAATCGGACACAGTGGGCTTACTGAAATTGCGATGAGTAATTCTTTTTTAGTATTTTTCAGACATTTAAAAGGACCAGTGTGGAGGATTTAGTGACATCTAGCAGTAAAGTTGCAGATTGCAATGAACTGAGACACTTCTGGCGACTATATGACGGCCTGGGAGTGAGAACGGGCTGCAAAGGAGAAACTACAATGGCCCCGAAACTCCACAGCCAGTGTTTGGTTTGTCTATCTGGGCTACTGTGTTTCCACCAACATACAGTCCACAAACACACAGTAGTGGCTGCCTCTTACCTGTGCAGGTCGGCCTCCAGCACACATGCAGCGCCTCCCATCTCAGGGGTTCAGTCACGGAGAGCGATCTGAGGAAAACCCCACGCTCCTGGAAATGGTGAAACATTTGAAACAACATGAAACATGAAAATGGGTTTGCCTTGTGAAAGCTTGTTGATGACAATTCATATTTATTAGTGGTGATTTTAAAAGTCCAGCCATTGGTTTCAGGTCATTTTAGTACATAAGATGAAATCTGCGTCAGGTAATCTGTTACAATGAGCATCATTATTGTAGTTTACAGTCTAGAAAACCAGTCTGCATTTAAGGAAATTCTGACATGGGAGATTTAAAAATAGAAACATGTTTACAAGCTACACCCCTTCAGAAAAAAAACCTCACTGTATCAGTGACATTGATAATTTATCAGGAGTATTTATCAGATTCTGTAACAGAAAAGCTGATTTGGAATCTCAGCTGCAGACATTTTTTTTTATTTTTAGAAGAATGAAAGAAAAAAACACTCACCAGGCTGAAGCAGCAGCTGCTGTGGAACTGTCAAACTTCTACCAATGATCAAAATCTAGTTTTTGTATCAGTTTAATGGGAGAAATGGGAAACCAGTCATATTATCTAAATATGTGTGTGTAAAAGTGAAAATGTGCGGAACCACCAGCTGGGCCCTTGAACTTTTTGTGTGTCATTTCTTTCCAAAGTCACATCTTACTTTAAATGAACAAAATTAGCATATTCTGGATTTTTTTTAATGAGGTAGTATCCTTTTTAAAGATTTTAATGTGGCACATTATTGGACTACCTGTATGGGTCTGTAACTTCAGAAGCAATAAAACTCTCCTTGGTGTGGTTAGAGCAGTAGATTGTGGTGGCTAATGTTAACAACATGAGACGGATGTTCCATTACTGAGCAACCTTTCTGACATTGGGACTATTCTACGTGTGGAGACCTGTCTGTTGTATCTATTAGCATTTGGGCCCCCCTTTGTAATAACTTTGGTCATCACCTGACTTTCCATCTTACTACCACCACCAGGTTCAACTATGATGATGAACATTATGAACATTATACATGCTTAACATCAGCACGTCAGCTTTGTCCTTGTATGTCAGCACACAGGGAATTTAACATGTCATTATGCTACATATTCTTACCTCAACATATACAATGGATCCATTCATCCCGGAGCTCAGGAAACGTAAATAAAGACCCAACACAGCCGTAAGGTCAATCCTGTTTGTTAAAAACCTTTTATTAAGATATTCAGATATTTTCCTCATTTTTAATCAGTCTGGTTTCTTTTTACTCTTTACAGTAGTTAATGTGCAATTATCTTTATTACTGGGTCACAGTTAGGAATTCACAAAGTTATTGGCACTTGGAACACATGGGGGAAACACTGGCATGTACACCGGGGCAGGAGGGCGGGGGGGTGGCGCGAGGGGGCATCGGGGCGATCGGTTGGATGGGGGAGGGGGGCAGGGTAACACGGCAGGGCTGGGGTAAAGGTCTGGGGGACGCGTGTGTGTGTGTGTGTGTGTGTGTGTGTGTGTGTGTGTGTGTGTGAGGCGGGGTGAGGTCGGGTATTTTCTTTGACATCAGTAGACGCTACTGCATTGTTTTTGTTTGTTTTTTATCCTTTGTTGTTTACTTCCAAAAGCTCTTATTTCACTTTTTCATTTTTCTGGGTTATGAAGAATAATAAAGAATAATACCTCATGCTGCGAGTGCACATCTAACAATCAAACTTCGATAGTGCTTCTATGTCATAATGTACAGTTTATATATTTATATATTTATAGTGGAAAAACGAGAAAAAGAAAGAGTTCTGCAGAGTATTTTCACCCAACGACACCAGAGACAAGGAAGAGAAGGAATAAAAAATAGTCATTCACGGTTGCTATGATCATATATAAGCCCGGCCCCCCCCTGTTCTGTAGTATGATTTTGAGGTAAGACTGTGTTGACATGGACTCTCGACTTGTGTCCCGTTTCTGTAAAAACCCTGCGCTGTATGCATTCAAATGGTCCGAGAGCGCTCTGCTGAGGCTCCCGGGTTTGTTCCTGAAAAACAAAAATGTACCTGCTTTGTAACGGCAGCCACAGCAGTTCAGAAGCTGCTCGCAGCGCTGAGATATCTGTGGGGATTAAGGTCTGCTATGGCTGAGAGCTCCCGAGGTAAACTGGTACTTTTTTTTTTTAAAAACTGCATCAGTGACACGAAGACACGCGCACACACGTCCTGCAACACATCCTGAGAGTCTGCAGGTGTGTGTGTGAGCGTGAGCTTCTGTATCTCAGAGGTTTGCCTGTTTCGTATTCATTTATACATATACAGTATATATATATATAAATATATATACGTGAGTGTGTGTTGTCTCTGGTGTGTGGGGATTTGGGAAAGAGCGGAGTAAATGTTTCTGGATACAAGACTACAGACCTGCAGACGGCAGGAAGAGAGACTCGCGGAGCTTGAGGAGCGCGAGGGGGGGGTTAAAGGTCGGTTGAGGGCTGATGAGGTCAGGCCGCGGCGCCGAGGAAGATGAGGAGGAACGCGGCTGAGCGGCGAGGAAGGGGTGGCGAGGGAGAGATACACGATGGAGGACTCACACCTCAGGATCACGATTCTTGATTTTAAGAGAGTCTCGCGTCCACTTCCCTCGCTCCTCTGTTCTCAAGTTTAGCCAGTTTTAAACACTTCACGACACAACTCCTGACAGTCCTCAGCAAGGGTCCCTGCTCCGGAAAAATCCACCCTCGCTTTTCAAAAGTTAGTCTGGTATCAAGGGTTGAAATGTACGTTCACATGCCGTGGCCACACCCTTTCACTTTCTAATTCCCTGCATCCTCTACGGTGGATTTTTCTTAATCAAAGCAGCACTGATCTGTTTTTACATTCATAATGGATGAAATGACGAGGGGAGGATCCCACCTTACTCTGCAGTTCTCAGCACTACGGAGCATTTCTGCGTCTTTCAGCAAATTGTTTTGGTTTTACAGCCAGCAGCTGGTCGTTCGTTGTCTTTAGCCTCAGCAGGCCGCTGTTTGTTTTTGAGTGAAAGGGCTCAGACTAATTCATGTACGTTAAGGGGGAAGATAGTGGAGCGTTTCGCGGCTAAAGAGCCAGATATTCCTTGAAACTGTGATTTTATTGGGTGGTGACAGCAAGTGACTGCTGATGTGTGTCTGGGTTTGCTGGATACGTTGAATAGTGGCCTCTCCCTTTAAGGGGCTTGACGTTCACTGTTGAATATGCTAAAATATGGGGTCTCTAACACCGGAGTTTAAGTGTTTGAGGGTGGATTTTTCCGTTAACATTCTGTCTGGATTTTAAAAAAAAAAAGAAAAAGGGGGGCAGTACGACCGTCAATCAGATCACACATTTTTCCACGCAATACCATATGACAGTACAAGTCAAACCCCACGAGCATTTTGACGGAATTGACAGTAGAAAAGACATCAAAGTCGTTTTTTGCTTCCTTCGTGATCTGATAATCGGCCTGATTATCAGTCTGAAGCTGTTTTTGAAGAGAATTTCTGACTGTGGCTTCTTGTCACACTGAAGGTTTTGTGCTCGTTCGGATTGACACTACCCAATCATCAAATGCTTGCTGGGTGAACATACCTTTCTTGGTGATTCTTCTGGGATTCTTTTAAAAAGACTGGAAATGATCAGAATTCACTGATGCCCTGTGCAGGAAACTCTGTCTGAATCAACTCCAACCTTCACCCTTCACCGGTACCCCTCACCCACCTGAACTCTCCCCTTTAAATCCTCCCCCACCCCCCATTCAGAGGAGAGTTTGCACAGTCTATGCTCCCGCTTCCCACCTGGGGGGGAGACAGGTCAATGAGCACATCATCATCATCATCATTTTTACAGTAAACAAATGTCAATAAAGAGAGAGAAGAGAAAAACATACAAAATAAAAAAAGGGAATGATAGTACAAAAAGATAAAAACAACAAAAATAAGGAACTTACAAAAAGAACCCTCACATTACATCTCGATCCCCCACCCCCCCCAAAAAATCAACATCTGACACCAGCATCCAAACCACAGACAGGAAGTGACATAGTGAGCGTGCTCAGAAACGTGCAGAGGGCTTTGGCTCTCCAGGACAGTTGAGCGCTCGCCCAAAGGTGCTTTTTTGTTTTTTTTTTAAAGATTATTCCACTCTCTCCTCGTCACTTTTGTTCCTTTCTGTGGTTCGGCAGCCGAGGTGGAGAGCAGGAGTGAAAAACAGACGGACGAAGTCGTGGACGGACGAGTCGAAGCACAAAAACAGCTCTTTTCTTTTGGAAGTCACGTCAGCAACTTTCAATCTACTGACAACTTTATTTGGCATCTTGGCCCACACACTGCGGTGGGCGTTTTGGCGGTTTTTGCGTCTTGTGTCGGATTCTCAGAATGAGCAGCAGAACCCCCCGGCGGGGTCCGCTGTTAAGGTGCTCGGATGAATACAGTGATCGAGACTCTTTCATTACAATCGTAGCTTGTGTAGGATCACTGCTTCTTGGGATCTCGCCCTCTGGTGGCGTTGGCACATACTGCAGCTGTGGAGCCCCCCCCTTTCTCTGAGCCGCAGTAGCAGCCTTTAGCCACCAGGGGACGTCTAAAGGAAAATAACATTCAAGCAGCAGTAGCTTATTCTTTGTGGAAAAGCTGGTTTGAGAAACCAGGTCAAGTAAACTTACTTTGGGTCGATTTCTAATGGAAGTTCATGCTTGGCTAAGAAACGGATTTCTATCGTCACAAGACAATGGAGAGTTAAGATTTTATCCATGGCAAGATTTTTTTTTTAAACAGACATTCAGGCTTGTAGCCTTAAAATGATGTGAGCACAACAGTGTTTCGTTTGCCTCGACTGTCCATCAGTCCGTCCGTCTGCTTTCTGCGGTCCCTGATCCCGCCCCGACAACAGCTGCAGTGCAGTAAAAACCAAACATCTGGTCCAGCATTAAAAGCCCAACCCTCAACCCTCCCGCCCGCAGCACCTCAGTCATACAACAATCGCAATGCAAAAATATGTGGTTCTCTTTTCTCTAGACTATTTTACAGCTAACCATGTCTCCACTTTCTCTTTTTGTAATTTTTTTTTTTTACACAACTTGGCAACTCTACGTACAGGTGTTAATGTTCAATTATTAGTAGCATCTGTCTTAAAATAACTCTCGAGGACTACAGTACACTAACTCGAATGTAGAAAACAAAAAAAACACAATAGCAACAGAAAATGAAACCAAAAACGTTTAAAACGGAAAAACATTTTGAAACGTGTACAAAGCTCTTCTAAAAGCGCGACCAAACTCGTATCGCTTTGAAAAAATGTCTGCTCTGGCCCCGCTCAACTTTTAGTTGTAAAACTGTGCTCAGACATAGCTGCCCTACAAAGAGGCAAAAAGCTGCAACCTGTCACCTAAAAAGGTCAAAAGGTCACAGGTGGGTTTTATATTTCATAAAAAAAGATATTCTGCGATATACAGCCCATGCTGCTGGACTTACACCACGGCTTTACTGTTCACTTTCACGGTTCAGATTTTGCTCTTTGCAGGGCAGGGGAGTGTTCAAAACTTCTTTATATAAATCATTGTGTCCTTTCTCTCAGTAGCAGTCCGCTACTGGCTCGCAAACCTTCCTCCAAATCAAAAGGAGGAAATAAAACAGACACAGGCAGATATTAAAGAAAATATCCTTTTTGCTGTGCTCGTTTGAAGTACGCCGAATTTCTCTCAAATTTATGTTCAAAACCCCTGGATGTGAAGACCAGTTGGAACCCCCGTTCACCCAGTCCACAACCCGAGGCCCCAGGAGAACAGGCCAAGAACAGACAGTCAGCAGGAACGTGGGACAAAAAGCTTGTTGGATCTGACCTAACCCTCTATAATCACCACTTCTACATTCTTTTCCTTTCAAAATCTTGCACAGAGACAAAATTTACCATTCAAATTTATAGAACTTTCAACTTCAATCTTTATTTCCTGCCTGTGTTCGAAGATTAAAGGCCACGTTTGAACAATACTGGGGTCTAATACTGCTAGTACAGTGGTTCCCAGCCTGTGTTCCCCATGTTACACACATTATTGCCCTTTTCCTCATGAAATTATGGATATTTCTAACTAGGGCTACAACTAACGATCATTTCCCTATTGATTACTGTGCCTTTTATTTTCATCAATTTCTCAATAAATAGTTTGGTCTATAAAATGTCAACATTGTGTGAAATGTCCACCCCAGTTTCCCTTAGCCCAAGGGGACGTCTTCAAACTGCTCGTGTTGTTCAACCAACAGTCCAACAACACAATTATATTCAATTTATTATCATAGAAGATGAAGAAAATGGGCCAATATTTACATTTGATTTTAAGTTTCTTTATAAACTAATGAATTAATGAACCAACTGTTGCAACCTGAAACAATCTGGGGTGAAAAGGTCTCAAGCACAAAAGGTTGGGAACCACTGTACTACTAAATATGATGTATATCCACACTAGCCCTTAATATTGGGCTCCTGCTAATTCAATAAACCATCGTTTTTCCTGGCCTGTAATTGTTGACTACAGATGAAGGTTCGCCAGGTGTTCAACATTACACACACTTTACAACAGCTGGGCGAATCACCTCTACAGTTGCAGCTCAAACGTCTTCCATTATCATATCGCAATGCTTAAAAAGGACAGTGGGTTAAAAACATTCAGCCAAATGTGTTTCAGGACATAAAATACATTTTCTCCACTCTCTTACAGATATTTAGTGCAATTTCAACTTTACGGGGGGGGGGAGGAATCAAAGCTAATTTTTGTTCTCCAGACGAATCTTAACTAAAGTTTTGGAAGCTTTGTTCTTTATCTGGATGCCCCGTTATCGTCCAGTCAGTGGGTGCTTGTCTCACTGGGGTCGTTTTGAGGGATTTAGACAACTCCACCGTTTATTCATTCACCCCACGACCCCACCCCTCTGCAAAATGCCACGCTACATAAATAAACAAGCACCCAGGTATTTATCTTGGTGGCACGGGGCCAGAGAGAGACGATCGCCTCCTCCTCCTCCCTCCTCCCCCTCTCTATCATTAGCCTCCTCTCTCTCCTCTCACTCTTGTCTCTTTGTCTGGATTGTGGCTTCGCTCATGTGACGGCAGACTGCCGCAATGCCTCATCTGTCCTGGGAGATTCTTAACAAACATCTCCTCCTCAGGAAGAACAGCACCTCCTCCTCCTCCTCTCACTGCTCAAGTCTAGGATGATTGTAATTATTTTTTTAACCCCACTTGGTCACTTGGTTCAACAGCCTGGTCGATATATGCGTCATGATTGGCTGCGTCTCTCATGTGGATGTTCTGATTTGTCAGCCACAGCAGCCAGGAGAATACAGGGGCAGATAGACCGTTCTCATCAATTGTCTGACTATTAAAGGTGCAGTAGACTAAAAAAAAAAAAAAAAAAAAATCACACAACTGGACAGTGTCCTATGAGAGGGGGGTGGGCAGAAAGCACACACACACACACACACACGTACACACACACACGTACACACGTACACACACACACACACACAGGTCAGATATACCCATCTACACTCATTTATTTGCATATTTGCATTCGATTGCTCACATGTATGCGCACACACGCAGCAACATATTTGGCAGCCCCATCTGTTGTTATAGACAGCAAACACACACACACACACGATACAGATATACGGGTGAGAGTTTGGCAGGGATTCACATTATATGAAGAAAATGGAGCCGACACAGAAATGAAGCAGCGGTGGATGGAAAATGATGGTTTACGTAATGAAGCAACAAGGGACCAAGACTATTTAGCTGTGTGTGAGATGGAGAAAGAGAGGGACAGCAAGGAAGAGAGATAGAAATGTATACAGAAAGAGGAGACAAGGCAGAAAGACATGTAAACAAAGAAAATAGAAAACAGAGAGAGATGGGCGAGGGCAGAGAGGGAGGGAAGAAAAGGAGAATTGAGGATAGAAATCAAGAGGTGGAGGAGGGAAAAAGTGTCCTGGCTGCAGTTGTGCTGCTGTCCCATGCAGGAGGGCAGGACGTGTACCAGGCAGCGGGGAGATTTTTAGGCAGGGGAAAAAATCTGAAGAGTCAATAGAAGTGCTCATGATCTACTTTGTCTGAAGTCTATTTTACATTGAAATGACTTTTATAAAAAACAAAAGAGCTGCAGCCATGATGTGCAACATGGCCACAATACATCTGCAGCTTTGATATGTCACAGATGTACAGACTCTGTGCTGTGGATAGAGATATGTGACTCTGCAGATGTGTGTGTGTGTGTGTGTGTGTGTGTGTGTGTGTGTGTGTGTGTGTGTGTGTGTGTGTGTGTGTGTGTGTGTGTGAGGCAGAGGAGGCAGACAAAAACAAACAGCCACTCATCTGAACCTCTGCACACATACCACCCACTCACACACACACATACATACATATACAGACCTTGCAGAGCTGAGCACCCAAACCACCCACACACAGTGACAGACATGCGCAGTCGCCACGTGAAGCCAGACACACACGTATGCAGCACATAGATCGAGACGCAGACCCAGCCTGGCATAGGCATGCGCAATACACACGTACACACACACACACACACACACACACACACACACACACTGTACCACTGTCAAAGGCTCTTCGAGTGAGGAGGCAGACATTAACATGCCATAAATGGAGATGGAGGGATGCGAGCGGGGAGGGAAAAAAAACTGCATACATACATTAATATGCACACACACACACACACGCACACAAACATTAAAAACACACCCACACATTATGTTCGCCCACAGATGCACACACACAAAGGCTTTACAAACAGCTCCCAAACCCACCCTGCAACAAACCACACACATACTTACGTACACACACACACCAGTATGCATGCATGCATTCACACCAAATCATCCAAGCGTCTCTGCCACCCCCCCAACCCCACCTCCCCCCAATTCATCCCTCCTCTCTAGGGAGGCTCAGACTGTCCTCTTCTTCCCTCTCTCTCTATCTCTCTCAGAATGTTTTTCTCATTTAAGGCGGTGGTTTTAAACAAAGCATTGGAATAAAAAGATTTTTTTTTTAAAAGGAAAACAAAAACAGAAATGTGCAAACTGTCTCCTCTATCTCCCCCCCTCCTGCCCGCCCTCCCCCAATTCCTTTCACTTATTTCTTTCTCCCTCTCTCTCTCTCTCCTCTTGCTTCTGTCCTGGTTATTGAACTTGGTTAAGTCTCCACAGATCGTACCATGTGCTCCAGAATAGAGGGTGGGGCACGGTGGGGTAAAATAAAAAGATACCCCCCCCAGTTACCTTCCACCTCCTGACTGTAGGACCTTTAGGTGCTCGTCTCAGGACCAAGGGTTCTTTGACTGATAGCGTTTGTAAAAAAGAAATAATAAAAAAACTTGATATACATGTAAATATATAAAAGAACTAAATAGTCACGTAAACATCTTTCCTCGAAAGCCAGGCTGTAAAAAGCAGACTTTTTTTTTAATAACACTGGTCTATAAAACTGTTTCAGTTCAAGACAGGTCAGATGACGCCTCAAAGGCTGTTTTTGGTTCTTCTCCGGGTTGTTTCAACGTGCAGCGCCGACCCTGTGTTTCGCTTAGGAGACGGTTAACGACAGACCCTTCGCCTTGAGGGTCTGTGTGTGTGTGTGTGTGTGTGTGTGCGTGGCGGTCCAAACTTTCTGACGCCACACTGGCAATAAGGTGCTTGAGGTTTCTTCTCATTTAGACAAAAAAAGAACACCAAAACGGGCCAAATACGCATAAAAAAAACCAAGAATGTCCGTTGGGTCCAATGGTCTAGTATACAATACAACAAATCTATAATATGTCAAGTCCTTTCTTGTTTGGGTTTTAAAGTGTTAGTCCTCAAGATTATCGCACTTAAAAACACTCGCACTGGGAATTTTATAGCAATAGGAATCCAATGTGCCACTAAGTTTGGCAGACATGCACATTTAACACACAGGAAATGGTACATAAACACAGGGGGAATTAAATATTATAAATGTGGATTTAACAGTTGGATCATTTCTCAGATTAAACACACAACGCGTTCCCCTTTTGACCATGATGGTACCTTTGACACTGAAGGCATACTGCTGGCCCCTACAGTCGATACACCACATTTTATTTCAAAGTATTACACTATTTGAGTACCTGCTGATCGCAGGTTCCGCTAAACCCACCGAAGCAAACTCGTTGGTGTTCTCAACTTTTGGCTAACAATTCTGTAATCTGAACAATATCACAGTACAGGATATAGGTCTGCAATCTGATCATTGTTTGCCAAAATGCTGTCATACGGAGAAAACTTAGCACTCAGAGCTCCACAGTGAACATTTCCATCATCTAGTGCCACTTCATTTTTTTTTTTTTTTACCAATAGACACATGTATATGTTTCCATTACACAGGAGTAGAAATAAATAAAATACCAAATCTTTCAATAAAGTTCAACCAAACCAAAACAGCTGTTTGTATGTGATCAATTTCTTAATTAGCTATGGTAATGGAGCCATCTGGCACGGTCTCGTATTGACTCAATGATCAATCGATACCATCGGTACTTTATTTAAAGACCAGCTGCGTCCGCCATTATCAACATATTTGTTTTTAAATTAGTGAGATTAAATCAGAATTTCCCTCATCCAACAGGGACCAATAGCTGACTTCACAACAGTCACCATGTTGAGTTAAGGCTCACACTGCTGAGTTATCTCATTTTGGTATCAGGCAGGCCTCGATGTAATGAACACAAATCAGTCTTTTACAGCCTTAAAATTTAAAAAATAAAATAAAATGTGTTTATATCCACCAATTACGTTGGATACACAGAGAAACTATTCTTAGTTTTACCCTGCTGTGAATTGTGAAGACACAACCTAACAGGCTGCATATAGTTTTGGCATCGATCAAATCCGTGTAACACATAAAAGAGAGTGCTTACACAGTTGGCTAACTTTGCTCGCATGTTATTCACACTACTGCTTTCATTCCCCAGTGCCAAACAGACAGACAGATGTGTCAGGTCTGTCGTAAGAAAAATTGACTTTATATTGATTGTCTGGGATTGATTTTATGATTAAAAGACAGAGAATGGGGTTTAAACCGAAAACTAGAATCTGGTGTAATGAGGATTTGAAACACTGCAGTGGTATCGAGGAGCAAAATATCAGTGGCACTAAATCAAACCGTTCACCAGGAGCACCTGTCTCAACCTCAAACTGAAGATAAAAAAAAGCCCTCGCCACAGTTTAGCTGACACTCATCAACTAAAGCGTGGCGAGGGCTTTTTTATCTTTTTTTTTTAAATTCAGCTGTATTGTGGAGGTCACTTTTTCAAAGAGAAAAAAAAAAAGAGTTTGTTCTGTGATTCTTTTTTCTGAAAGCTACCATTCAGCCGCAAGTATCAAAGGCAAATATGACTGCAATATGACTTTCAGGGTTGTTTCTATGCCAACATTCTTCTGATTTCCATTATTTAGCAGCTTTCATTTTATAATTCTAAACATCTTACATAAAGCCAGGAACGCAACTGTCAAACAAACAACTTTCAGCCAGCGCAGTTTACCTTCTCCATCACATCTACTGTAGCCTCATTAAACACTGAATACATTTAAGGTGAACGCTTACATGTGACAAACCACAACCTCTTGGGTCTGCTTTGGTGTAATTCCCCTTTAATTCCCACGTTGCTCTGGTGTACTGTAGCTGATGCGGCTGACAGCGCCCAAATGCATATTAGCGTGTATGTGTGCTCACTGCAGCGATGGGTGAATGAATCGACCAAGCGTGTGTGAAAACACACCGTCTGGCCTCCCGCTCTCTCTCTCTGCTGCAGCAGCACACACGCACAAACTGTGGCCGTACAAACACACACCTACACATACACACGCAAGAGCTGTATTCCTTGCAATGTACCAATGCCTGAATTAGCACCGTTGTCCATGCCAGGCGAGCACGCATCCAGGCAGCAGAGCCCGAGAAAACTTGTGCCGCTAACAGGCACGGCCGCGAATACTCTTAGGGAGAGCAACTGAAACATGAGCTGAAAACAAAAGAAACAGCACCGCTGTATCTCCTCACACACACACACACACACACACACACACACACACACACACACACACACACACACACACACACACACACACACACACACACACCACACACACACACACACACACACACACACACACACAAATCGTTCCAAAGCTCACAGGCTTAAACTCATTTTCTGGACTTTCCTTCAGATTAAAAAAAAAAAAAAAAGGGTGATAAACGGATATATAAATTGGATTCAGCTTGTATTTTTTCTCCTTTTTTTGCATTTTTTAAATAAAACCACCCCTCTTCTCTTTCTGATACGTACAAAAACGTAGTTCGATTGTACTCATACCGCAGGAAATAACACAGTGCATTTATCAGGCGCAAACTCTTTGACAATCATCGGTAACAAGTTTCCTCTAGCTCGGGAGGCTTGGCAAAAATCACACACGAAAAGTAAAAAATTAAGAATTTAAACAAAAAAAAAGGGAAACTGAACAATTTTTTTTAGGTTTTAGGGTCAAAAAGTAGGGGAGGTCAGGGGAAAAGCCAAGCAAACTTTAGTTTTTTCCCCGTCTGCCACCGCACCGTCAGTCAGAACTCACCAGCATCTCTCTAAGGGCTGGTAGGTCAGTTTCCCAGCATGCCCAGCAGGGGTTAAAGAGCAGGGTTGGTGGGGTCGGGGAGATCATAAACCATGCCAATATACATATTAATATTCATTTCAACCCCTGACCTCATCAACCCCACCGCGGTCACAGAAGCTTTCATCTGGCTGTCCAGATGAAATAAAGCAAAACAAACGAGTAAAAGAATAAAAGAAGGGCTCTGTACAAGCTCACTCAGCCTCCACTGACTCACTACGCTGCGGTTCGGATGCTTCGCCACACATACATTCAATATCAAAAACAACAGTGTTACCGGAGTTTGGGGAAGGAAAAGAATCACTTTCTCCAAACAAGATTACCCCCTTCCGCCCACCCCCCTCCCCAGGGAATGTCTGTGATTGATTATGGTAAGAAAAAGGGCCTTAGTGACAGTACACACTCTTAAAAACAAAAGAATAAAAAATAAAGGCTGAAACAAGCAGGTCTTGAAAGGTTGCAGAGGAATGAAGAGGTGTGGGGGGGGGCTATTTATCAACCTCCTCCCTCTGCTACCTTTCTCTCCATCTTTCAATCTCTCTCTACCATTAAAAGGAAGGAGGAACGACCCAAAGAGAGGCATTCTGGGCCGCTGAGAGAGACAGAAATGTGGACAAACAAAGGAAGGGAAGCAGAACAAATTGAGCAAAAGAGGTGTAAAAGAAGAAATAGATCCCCAAACACATGGCGGCTAGGGGATGAGCGACAACTGTCATCACGACCACTGTGGTCACCGTTCTCGACTCATCGCCCCAGAGAAATGCCATCCCTCCCTACATCAATCTGTCCATCTGTCCATTCATCTATCTGTCCGTTCACTCACTCAAAACAAAGTGCTGCCGTCTCCTCCTGCCCCCTGGAGGGTGTCTGCTTGCGTGGCTCCGCCTCCCACTTCGTTATTGTTGCCAGCCGCCGCTGCCGCCGCCGCCACGGCTTCCAGGGAGGCGGGGTCAAAGCCTTGCTCCGCCCCCAGCGCGTCGGCCTCCATTTTCACGCTGTCGGCCAGGAAGGCGGAATAGGCGTCGCTGTCGGCCATCAGCAGTTTAAGCTTGGGAATCCAGCTCTTGCGGACGACGCGGCGGGCGTTGGTGCACATGTCAGCCGCGATGGCGTTCATCTCGCTCTCCTTGAAGCTCGGCGCAAAGTTCTGGCAGTAAACTGTAGGAAGGAAAAAGGGAAAGAGAGGAAGATGAAAAAAGAAACAACACTGAAAAACACCAAAGGCTCAATGGCTGGTGAGGAGTGACTTTCAAAGCAGCAATGGGGAACTTTGCATGCGGGCAGCTCCACAGTCTCACCGAGATGTAACTCTCAGTATTTATAATATCAAAAACAGTGTGTATCTTTTTATGACTCACATTTGACAGCGTGCAGCACTCTGTTGTCCAGGGGTTTACGACTGGGGTCATTGGTTGAAGAGCGAATGCCAGTTCCACAGCTGTTAGCCAGAGTGCTCCTGGAAGGAAAGACACAAAAATACATCAGCACGTAAACAGATACAGGATGCACACAGCATAGTGTTATACAGAAAGAAGTTTTAAGGCAATAAAAAGACATGCTGTGGTGCATACAGAGAAACACAATCTTCAAAATCAAACAGGAAAATCAGACAGGAAAAATTGATTCAACGCCAAAAGCGGTCTAGTTGTAGTCTAGTTCTCAGCGTGCAGCTTTATCGTTTACTGCGGCTTATACAGCACTCTCTTTGTTACCGCTCTACATTTGACCAACCAAATGTTTGGTAGGCAAAACACTGACCTGTCAAAGAATGCGGCCAGCAGGCGTCTGAGCAGCACTTTGTGGCGGGTGCCGGCGCTGACGTGGCAGTTCATGAGCTGGGCGCGGGAGATGAACACGGAGGTGCCGCTCACCAGCTCCAGCTTCTCGGCTGGGTCGCCCTCCTCGTACAGCTTCGGGTGGCAGCGGTTCCCGATCTGGCTGATGAGCTCAGCGGGCAGCGACGCCAGGTCCTGCCGGGACCGTGCCCCCCTGCCCCCCCGTCCGCCACCTGAGTCTGGGGCCAAGTCCGGAAGAGCCTCCACCCGCTCCCCGACCACTAAGGAGGAGGATGGATTGTTATCAGTTTTACTTACATTTAGGGCTGGGTATCTTTTGGAGATTTTACCTAACTAGTGCAATAGTTTCAGAGAAGATATAAAGTCTTACTTTGAGGAATAAAACATTTTTTTTTCTACAAAAGAAGTGTTAAAAGTAAAAAGTAGTCATACACAAATTTTGCCAAAATAAAAAACAGTCTAAAATTGAGAAACTTGTGCTGTTTATAAAGTAAATACTGGCTTTCACACATTTAGACCAAAGAAAAGGGAAACCATGTTGCAGTGCAGAACAACTGTATGTTAACTGTAAGAACAGCTCAATTGCTGGTGACACTGTTCAAATGATTGTATCCACATTTCTCATATATTTTGAATAAACTTCCGTTAGTATAACTGTCAGTGGTTTGAATATTTAATTCAAACCATTCCATCTGAGTGAGTCCTTTTGATTAAACAAATTATAAACAATTCATAAGCGTTAAGGCAGGATCCAAAACTGTCAGTGGTTTCAGCCTTTTAAACATTTCATTCTCCACAACATCCTCCACTCCTGAGAAGTTTGGATGAGCAAACTTTCCAAGACTGGAACATGTAAACACACTTCAGCAAGAGCCGCAGATCAGAGGACAAAAACTTGAGATTTACTTGAAAACAACAGTGCCCCTAAAATGAACCCCCACTCACAGAGCTTACCTGCCGCTCCAGCGTTCAGCATGCTGTACATCGTGTACATGTTGCAGATCTGTCTGTACTGCTCTTCGGCGCTGTCGTCTGCTATGTCGTCTTCTTCCTCGTCGTCGTGGTAACTGATTGGCGAGTCGCTGGTGTACATGCTCAGTGTGCCCGGGCTAGTGCCTTCAGGGGTCCCGCCGTTGTTGTTGTTATTGTTGTTATGGTTACTGTTGAGTCCGGCAGCTCCCACTGAAGTGGCACCGCCGCCGGCCAACATAGCGGCGTTGGCTGCGGGTCCGCGGCCAGAGGTATCCTGGGTAGTATTGTTGGAGGAGGAGGAGGAAGAGGAGGAGGAAGAGTAGCGTGCGGCCTTTCTCATCCCACCTCCCCCGCCCCCTCCAGACCCTCCTCCCCCGTCACGGTTGCCCCCCTCCCACAGCCGCTTGGCTACCGGGGTGCAGACCACCGAGTAGGGAGAGCCCTCCTGCTGAAGGGGGGGAGAGAGAGAGAGAGAGAGAGAGAGAGAGAGAGAGAGAGAGAGAGAGAGAGAGAGAGAGAGAGAAACACTGATTATTCATCTTCAGCGCCAGACAACTTAAAAAAATTCAATTAATAAAAAACAATTAGGAAACATAAAGCAACAATTTTAACTGCAAACAGTAACGATGCAGAGATTAATATCATTCACACAGCAGCAAGTTTCATATTTATCTTCTCAAACAGGTTCAGAAAATAAACTGTACAAAAACTGCATATTTTATATACAAAAAGACTGTATGAAACAGGGGGCATCAGGAAGTAGATTATTTTAAAAACAACAGACATTCAACTTTTAGTTCCTAACAGATGACACTCGCTGCTACAGACACATATCAGCGAGCACCAAAAACAGAGTGAGGTTGGATACTCAGCCACACTCACTAAGCCTTAAATGGTAGTTCAACTAATCTTTGCCAAATAAGTCCAAACAGGTAAGTCTATAACTGTGAGCAAATCAAAAATAAAGCAAAAACAGAATCTTAGTAGTCTCTTGGTCTCTAATGCAGACTATACAGAAAAGGTTGGTGTCTAAATTTACACAAAACCGTGTTACTACCCTGCAGACTTTATCACAAGTTTTAACATCTTTTATTTCATCTCGTAAAAACAACCGACGACAAATCTGCTGACGGTTTCATCACATGACGAAGAACACGATTACTGTGTTTTTTCGTAATCCATTTACAGACAGATCTGTACATATGAGGCTTATTTGTGCTACTTGACTGTAAGATCACACAGCTCTCACACTGTAGCCTCTCCCTCTGCTGTAAGTGAGGACTGGAGCAAGTACACTGCTATGCAGATTTGCACCTGTCATCACATGGTGACTATTTTGGAGCAGCAAACAGATGGTTTCCTCTGAATTAAAATCACAAGAAGCTGGTTTCTCCGGTTTCTTTCACCTGTATTTGAGCTCGAATGACTCAACGCATTTCGTTTCAACCTTAAAACTCAATTTGAAACTTTCAGAGTACCTGATAATATGCAGTGAAAAATAAAATATGCACTGGGTATAGGCTAGTGAAAACAGCTCTTGGAGCGAGCGTGTCTGGCTCAGCAGGTGTTATAATTTATCTATATATTTATAATTCCTTATCACAACCTTTTCAACAGAAAAGTAAATGAGTGTACATTAAAAGCAAACTCTGGAAAGCCATTCTGTACGTATTAAGCCACTGTTATGTGACAGTAAATGAAGTGAGACAAACTGTTTACTACAGTTTGCGCTCCTTTAACTACCCACCACTAATTAATGTGGATGGTAATATGATAAAAACACAAACAATACTCATCTCTCAATATGAAGGCTCTCCCACACCTCCAAAGCTAAAGCTCTTATAAAGTGCTTGACTTCACAAAATATTGATAGAGACCTTCGACCTCCACAATAATTGATGTCTTTGCCTGAAAAACGATTTGAAACTGAAAAATGCCATATTTCAGAAATAACCTTCAGGTAATGAGTCATCAAAAAAGATGGATATATGGTGTGTTTTTTTCAAATCTCTTCAGTTGCAATTACAACAAGATTAAGGTTTCGTAACTGGCAGCGAGCTTTCCTTGAAAGTTTATCAAAGCCTTTTCAAATCTCAAACTCAAAGCGACACCTACTCGTGATGCCCTGTTTCACTGTTTGATGTCAATACCGAATTAATATAGAATATTATCCTTTCAGACTCCTTCACATAATTCAGATAGAAAGAGCCGAGATGGTGTTAATTGCCTCATCAGTTCAAACACTTCGCCTGTGTTAAAGTTATCAGAGGCGGCCTACCTGCTGTGGCTGTGGGGTGGGCTGAGGTGTGGACGCTGTCTGTTCCGTCTTCACCTTGGACACCAGGGGGAGGGGCGTCAGACAAGAGGTGGGTCTTCCTGCGGCTGTGGCAACGACGCCGACTCCGCCACCTCCACCCACTGTTTGAGTGACGGGGCTCTGAGGCTCGGAGCTTGGGGTCTCCTCAGCGTGGAGACCCTGGGAGTCACAGCTTGGAGATGAGACCTGGAGGCGTGATGATATAAAGAAGGATGAGAGTTTCCAGAATTACCTATAAAAAAAAAATACACACCCATACTGTGCCACTATTTCATTTTTATGCTGGTTTAAAATGTTGTAATTCTCCATCCTAAGCAGGGCAGGGTATCAACCGAAATGTGTCCATAACATCATGGAAAATCAAAACCTGGCATCAAATGTCTGCTCATATTCATAATGTTGTTCTATGATAAGATGGTTCCAGTATAGTACACTATTTTATTTGGGTGAAGTTACTGTTACTGTAATGATGGATTTTAACACTTCTTAAGTTATAATGGAAAACATAACAGTAAATCAAAACAATACTGATAGTAACTGTTTGAAGTCATCTATGAAGCAACACTGCAAAGTTATATGGTCCCAGCCTCTCACATGTCAGGATTCGCTTTCTGCTTTATATGACTGTAATGTGAATATCGTTTGGTTTTAGGCCTGGTCCAACAAAACCTGGCCTTGGGCTCGGGGATTTTGTGATGCAATTTTCCAGACATGTTCTGTAATTTTTCTTTAAAAAAAAAATAAAAGCTATATTAAAGATCCCCTCCATACATGTGTTAAGATTTATATACGAATAGTCTGCTTGGAGCAATGATGAATTTTTTCCTTAGGAAAACACTATATAAACTAAAAAACTACATAACGTCCACATTAAAATCCTTAAAATGACCTCTATTCCTTCTACCTTATTAAAAATGCCAGAATCTATGAATATGCTAATTCTGTTCATTCAAGTTATCCTGCTGGACACAAAATGTCTACTTCACTGTACAGTTGTTTCTACACCACACTCTTGCAAGTCACAAATAAAGCTTGTTGGCCCACAACTGAAAATCAAGATTTTCAATGAGCACAGAGAAACTTTCCACTTCCAGCAGATGAATGTGAAAACATCCTTCTAGTGTCAAACGCTGCACAGACATCATTCAAACAGTGAAGCTCAAACACTCAACTGTTTGAAGAAATCCTTAAGAATCCTTAATTGCAGTTCATGGTTTATATTCCTCGAATAAGATGTCAAAAAGGTTTTGGTAACAGAGCCTGGTAATAATATTGGCACTAGTACTGGAAACGTTTTCAAAGATACTCTACACAATCTTAAATCTGCTTTCTACCAGGTAATGTAACGGACAAGCAATTCTTCTGTTACTCTACTACAAGCTGGACAGATTTTTTTTATATGAAAGGTGAATTCCCAATATTTCTTGGCAAAGTAGCCAAACACATTTCTGACAACCAGCCTTTCAAGCCCAGCAAGCAACACATCCAGCAGTAGCAAATACTTCGGTTTTTCTTAACATACTTCACATAACACATAGCTGGTACCATATTAACTCTGTCTGGAGGTGTTAAGGAGTACTTTCAAGGAAATCAGTTCTCCTCATTAATATGCAGATTTATGCAGCAAGGCACTCCAAATCTAATCAGATCATCTGCTACTATAGAGGGAACCTGTAGTGTCAGTACGATGTTTCAATTATTCTTTAGTCACAAGGACGTGTCTACAAACACAGACACCCCCATGACAAGAAATGCCATTCTTTTCTTTTTTTTAAAGTTTTTTTTTTGGCTTTTATTGCCTTTATTTGATAGATACAGCTGAAGATAGACAGGAAAGGGGAGTAGAGAGTGGGGATGACGCGTAGCAAAGGGCCGCAGGTCGGATTCGAACCCTGGGCCGCTGCAGCAAGGACTGAGCCTCTCTACCCACGGAGCTAAACGGGCGCCCAACAAATGCCATTCTTAATGTCACGCACACAACAGGTGCCATAGTGGCAGCACATGAAGGCTACTGACTATCGAAAAATTCCCGTAGTTCTACACCTGCAGTCAGCCTTAAGGAACAGTCAAATCATTGTTTATGAATGTTTCATTGAGGGGTTACCTTGAGGAAAAACTCTGTGCCTTTCTCCATGATCTGTTGGATCTGGAGGAAGCCGGCTGTGTACATGAGCAGGAACTGGTCTCCAACGTTCATGCTGAGGCGTCCTGTGTAGCAGAAGGCCAGGATCTGCTGGAAGCTCTGCGGCTGCACGGCCGGGGGCAGCTCCACTACCGAGCTCTTTCCCCCGGCGTTGAACAGATCCCGGAAGTAGGAGCTGCTCGCTGCCAGCACCGCGCGGTGTGCCTGAGGTTAGGTAAGGAAAGTTAGGTTATACGAGTTAATTATATTACGATTGTAAACGAAATCTATGCAATGTGAATATCATCATACATGTAAAACACAGCCAGTCAGGGTAGATTTAAACTCTGAAATATTTCTTTTGGTTTCTTGGTTTACACTTGCTGTGAGTGCAGTCAAATATAAGGAGGTGAAAACCCCAGACAGTATGTACAAAGTGCAAGACTGGCTTCATCTCAGCCATGTTTACAGTTAACCTCCCTTTGGCTGAATCTATTTTAAACTGCAATGGAAAAGGACATTTTATTTTCTAAAAGTATCTAACCGTAGAGGAATCCTTTCCCATTATATTGCAGTAACTTCTGAAATATAGCCAAATTTCTAATTGTAGCCTTACAAATTGTATTGAACGGTTGCAAAGCCAAAGATTTATTCCCCTTGTGAGAGAAGTGGCCAGAGGGAGCTCAGAAAATCTATTAGAAATTATTTAAAGCAGGACTCTGGCTGTTTTTGACCTGGACCATATTTTCCTGTCTTACCAATTGATTTTAACCAAACTCTTGTGAATACCTTCACCGAGGAGCTAATTATGACTTACTGCAGCCCCCACAACCAGTCCTCCAGAACCAATGAACAACTGAAAAAGACTGAATACCAAAACCTTTCCCATGTTGTTCAAACACAGAAATTAAAACAGCTTGACAAGAAAAATATCAGAATAAAACATGGAAATTAAAAATGATTTAAACTCTTGTCTTTCTTTTACAGTTTTGACTCTAATTAATCTTCTCTCTTGTCGATAGGACCCAGCCTACAGGGGCGTACGCTCTATCAGGCACCCACCAGCTGAACTTTTGTACAACCTCTGACTAGAAGCTGTCACTCCTTGAATAGGTAACTTTAAAAAGAAAAAAAAGTTTTGAGACCTTGAAGGCATGTCCCTTGACGACCACGGAGACATCACAGTAGAGGCCCTGCAGCCGCTGTTCGTTCAGACACTCCAGGATGTTGTTGCCAAAGTTAGGGATCGCCATCTGCAGCGTCTGAGCCATAACGCTCTGCCCAGCACCACAGGGTCTGCAGGAAACAGAGAGGTACACGTTAGAGCAGGGACAGCGGGATTTACGTCAGTGAAAGGTTAGAAAGAGAGGAATGGATGGGATGTCGGACAGGAGAACGAAGTGGAGAGGGATATATCTGGAGGGAAGGAGGGATACAGATGAGGGATGATGGGGGCGACGTATGGATTAATGAAGGGAAGGCGAGGAGGAGCGTGAAGAACGGGTACATGGAGGGACATCAGAGAAGTGATGAGGAAGAGAGGACAAGATGAGGTAGCAGGCCAGGAGAAGAGGAAACATTAAATAAAGGAGTGACGAGACAGGAAAAACGGCGTAAAGAAGGACGGGAGACAGATGTGTGAAAGGCAAACAAGAAAGTAATGAGGAGGGAGGAAAGAGACTTGAAATAAAGAAACAGGGTTAGCAAAAGTATATGATGATTAATGAATTAAGTATTTGGTAAACAACTTTAACTCAAAACTCTAACCTCCGAATGAAAGAGAATTTTGGGCCACCAGCGACAGTTATATAAGCCGTCTTTCTCTTTTTTTAACCTTGTTTCATTACATCTAATTCACAGTTAATAAACTGTTTGGTGGTTTTTGGCCTACTTTGTCATTTTCTCGACGCTCCTTCTCAGTCAAAACACACCCGCTTACATAACTCATCTACTTCACTCGTCTTCGTCACCGTCTAGCAAAAACAGCCTGTGATCAAAAGTGAAGGAACTGTCAAACCCGTGACAAAGAAATAAACAAGGACTCTAAAAATCTCTTTTTCAATTTCATTTTTTGCTCAAGACAGCCGGCATCACTTTCGAATGGACCCTTTCTTTTTGTTTATGAATGCACAATATATACATAAAACTACTCTAATGCCAAGTCTGATGGAGGGGAAGTGAACGGATGGGAACGAGGGATGAGTCTCTAGCCTACGGAAAACATATGCATGTCATACAACATCACGACCTCCAAGTGACAGATGGTGTACGAGCTTAGTGAATATGCACGCAAGTATTTGGACGGTAGCTGGTTCAGCCGAGATGATGTGGAGCTCCTAGCCTGGCTACAACCCAAGACAAACCAGTAACAGGAAACAATACGATAGCAATTAGCCTTGTTCCTCAACTGGGAGGAAGACTCACAGACGAGACCTAGTAGCCTAAACAGCTGGCTTCTACATCACCTCCAGCTCTCCTCATGAACGCTAGGGAGAATGTATACTGAAGCAGCAGCCAAAAGGTCACAGACAGGGCTGGTGAGCAGACATTTCTATCATATTTATTCCTTAGATCTAACGCTCAACACACATTCAAGGACTGATTGAACTAAAAAAGGGTAAATATCAGGATGTTCATCAGATATTATTTTATTCCTCTGAATGCCAAGGGGTCATTTGTAAAATACATATAAACCGACAGTTGTCTGTTACTATTTGTCAGTAAAAAAGCTTCCTTAATGCCCACAAAGAGTTCATGTTAAAGAAAAATGATTTATTCACCCTTCAAGCTCTGGTCTACAGAAAAAGAAACAATCCTCAAGCACTGTACGTACAGTAAGTTGCTTCCCTGTCGCATTACTGGGGCAGCGACTGATGACTTTCAATCATATAATCCATTAATATATCCATTATTTAATGACTGATTGCTTACTATATAGACAATGCCCAGGGCAAGATCCAATTTCGCCTGAACGACCATTAAAAAACCTAAAGGGACTCATTTTGTAATGATATGAGGTAGAAAAAAACCCGCACAGCCTCATAATGGAGCAGCTGGAGCCTAATTTACTTAAAACGACTAATTATAATTTTTTGTCAATTAATTATCAGTTGATCAACTAATTCAATTCAATGTTATCATTGTGCTTGTAAAACATACTCTTGTCATTCCGAGTTGAATAACTGATTAATCGGTTAATCATTTCAGCGATATGTATTAATGTATTCATCTACAGAAACTAGAGATAAAATGACCTTTTTATGCAATCGTTTGAGAAGGAAATTGTGTTTGCGCTCCGTTCCTTTTACACATGTGTCACTGGAGCATTTAGAAAAAAATAGGTCACGTAAAAAAAAAAAAAAAAGATGGACTGCATGACAACAGCAAGTTTCAGCTCCAATCTCAAGTATTTCACAAATCAGTGCGGTAGAAATCTGATTTGGCAATTGATATGTAGTATTGCTTACACAGTTGTGTATTACAAGTCAGACAAAAGAAAGAGTGCAACGACAAATGCTGAGTAAGGAATATTGCTGTATTGCCCAGTACTATATTTGGGTGTACAGCATTAGGCGAAGGAAGACAGGCAGACTGACCAGGGCTTACAGCGATGAAATATATATTTATGAGTGCAATAAAAACAGTTGGGACTCTTGCTGACAAGTTGCGCATTCAACCTTGCTGATTGGCTTTTGTGAAAGTCTGAGGAATTGGACAACTTCTCACTTCAACCCGCTCTTAGTACAGCAGGAAAGGACTTGTGACAGTCTACACAAAGAGAGTCCAACTTGAATTTCCGTTTGAATAGGATGGTTACCTCCACAGGCACAATCCTCTCAGCACAACGCACAGTACGCAATATAAAAAACATTATTCAACAACAAAAACTACTGAACCTGGCCTTGGAAATAGTCTTAGGACAAATAAACATCTCAACCGCTAAAGCATAGCTCTCTGCTCCTGCAACATCTACCATCCAGATGTTCCTAAACAAGGCTCTTCCAGCAAAAACTTAAACTAAAAAAGCATTTAATCACAAACAAGTTGGGCACGGCTGGCGCGCCTGAAAAATGATTCCCCTTCGGTGGAGCTGCTCCTTAACAAACAATAAAAGATAGTGGTTGTACTGGGAGCTTCCAGGTGTGAATGTGAAGCAGGGTGCTGTAGCATGCATGCTCAGCAAACCTTCCCTAGTTGAAAAAAAGTGCGCTAAAGCAGTCCTGAGCTCCTGCCTTACGCCTACTTAAGGGCCGCACTGAAAACAGAGGGCCATCAGCATTTCATCATAATTAATTTTTTAAGTTTATAGCAACTAATTAATTTTGATAGATATAGGCACAGTTTGTAGGGCAGTGGGCTAAGAGAGGGAGAGTAAAGCAGGACTATTTACAACCCCAGTGCTACAAAATTCAAAGTCTTTTAATTTCATTTTCAAACGTTCAAAGTCGAAAATTCTATTAGGGCTTAGACAGTTATGGCTAAAATAACAAGCTTGGTTGTCAGCATCTGTTGGGTGTTTTCAACAGCAGCAAGCATTATAAGTATGTGTATTAATTGCGTAAACTATCATTACAATATTATTATGGTTAATAAATTGGGCAGCCATATTCTGGACAAAAAACAATTAAGATTGCAGACTGTTTATTGGATTGAGAGCACTTTGTACAATTTGATCTAAATAACATTCCTGTCATATCAAAACACTATTAGTGCCGGACTGTATAAATTACAGTTTTGTTTTCTGCTACTTATTTCATTCAAATCAATACTGTTTTGACATAACTAAGTCAGTGTTTGCCGGCCATTGTACCTTGACACATTATTGTGCCTTGACAGCTTGTGTCGATGTAAAGAAATCAATGTGCATTACATTAACGTAATTATTATTCAAGCGAAGTGGCTCAGAGTGATATTTTCTCCATGCATTCTGGGCCTTATCCAGGATTTGTTTACATACATTACTCCTACTTTAATTAGTTTATCGTGGTCTTAATGGTCATGTGGGGATTTGTCTTATCAAAACAGGTTACAGTATCTAAGTGTGCTGATAGAGCACCAGGATTAGCACTAAAGTAGTAGTAGTACTAAAAATGCATTATCTACACCGCCTGCCCCTCGACATCTCCACTTCCCGTGGCCTTGAGCGAGCAATCGAGCCGACGAGAGTCCCAGAGGAGCTTCTCAGCGACCAACAACAGATGCCTGTGGTTGTTTCCAGGTGTAAATATGTGCAATCATATGAATAATCACCAGGTAAGTTGCTATGACAAGGCATCTGTGTGGCGAAGATCGTCCCTCAATACTCAAAAAAGCAGCAATACATACAAATCTATGATTACTCTGATTTTTACAATAAGAAAACCAGCATTTTGTGTTAAAACCTTGAAGTGTATTATTGTAGCCTAAAAGCAAACTTTTTCCTTTCACCAGGAGTTGAACTTCTTGCCTGACTTGACCTCGACACACAGTGGAGCATTGAGATGTCATCCAAGGACATCCTACCAGCCGCCCTTTCCCCCTCAGAGGTCAGAGAGGTCACAACAACTTCCAGGAAACATAAAAGGGAGTTAATTCACACCACTTGACCCTTGACCCGAGGTCCCTGTGTGCCCCATTATATGCTCTGACTTAATGCTAAACTGTGTGTGTGTGTGTGTGTGTCCTCTAAAACTTTTTAAAAATTCCTCCTCAGTGTCAAACTCTGGTTTACTTTATGCAGACTAACCACATGCTCCAGCTAACACCCAAATGTTTAAAAAAAAAAAAAAAAAAAAAGTAACCTGATCACTGCAGTTCATTTACTGGCATACACAATCAATCCAAGCATCTATCTGAATCAATACTAACACAAGCTTGTGATATCATCAATCACTACTTAATCATACTCAGTTTCCTGGTTTAGGGAGGTTAAAGGTGGCCTGTTAGCAAGTAGCAAGCTAAAGCTACGGCTAACACTGGCATTAGTAAAAAAAAAAACAACAACACCTAACCTCTGCATATAATTCCCCACACACATGCCTTTAAACCACATGAAATCCGGCCCTTGTGTCTTTAAATCTAAAAGACATTTACGTTATTTACCGACAGTCGGACAGGCAACCAAAATGTGGCTATAGTGAATAGCCTCCCTTGAGCACGACTAGAGCTGAAACTTCAAAAAAAAAAAAAAAAAAACCCGAAATGTTATTTATACACATCAATTATACATCAGTTAATCTCACATTAAAGTCTAGCCGAGCCGACGTCTCGCCGGTGAACGCCACAAGCGAGAGAAAGAGCCCCGCCACCACCACCAGCAGCAGCAGCAGCAGCAGCAGCAGCGGGGGCAAAGCAGGGCGGTCAGGCTGGGCAGAGAGCTCTCGGTGCCCCGCCGTGTGCCAGCCTCGATGCCCCGGTAGGATTTTGGGAGTCCTCGGCTGGCCCGGGCCGGTGTGTGCGTGCGTTGAGTGGAAGTAGGGAGGGAGCGGAAAAAGGGACCACACACACACAAAAAAAAAAAATAAAATAAAAAAGATAAGAGAGCTCCTCTTCTTTATTTTGTATGCCAACCCCGGTTTCAACTCTCCCCCCTTGCACACACACACGTTTATCGTCCGAGGAACCGGGGGAGAAGAGGGGAGGGGAGGGGAGGGGAGGACGAAATCTGCCACAAAAATAGTCGAGGGGGATAAAATATTCAGCAGTTCTCCTCGTCTCCCCTCTTTCCGTGCCAGCGCGGTGTGATGTCCGTTTAGAGACCGAGTTCCCTCCTCCTCCTCCGGCCGAATGGCAGCTACCGATACGGGACAGACACGCGTTGTTCCCCCTCCAAAATGTCGCGTATGATATATCACAGCGAATACATTATTAATTAAATCTCCCACCAAAAAAAAAAAAAAAAGAAAAATGCGACTCAAGAAGGCACACATTTACTTGAGTCTTAATATGTGAACGTTATATATATATATTTATTTTTTTTTACCGGAGAGGAGAAAAGGGTTTATAACAGCGGAGGTCGATACTCCATCTTTAGCCGACATCAACAGGTCATCCCGGGACACAAATGCGCTGCAACTGTGGGCGAGACAGACGGATGGATCCGGCATGGCGAGGGGGAGAGAGAGAGAGAGAGAGAGAGAGATAGAGAGGAGAGGAGGGGAAAGGAAAGTAGGGGGTTGGCTGTAAAATCTTAACCCGTTTACCGACGGGACACCATGATATTAGGCGAATCAACGACTGCCTGCGGTTTTTTCAAATGCAGCACATTAAGAAACAAAAAAAAAAAAAAAAAAAAACTGCACACCCCCACCTCTTCTCTTCTCTTCCCTCCCTTCCTCAGACACCAAGTACTTTTTGAGAAAGTTCAGGAATGCGGTAGAAAGAGGAGCGGAGGACTCATCAAGTCACTCACCGAGGGGAAGGGGAGAGAGGGGGGACAGCCCGCGACGACGAGTGACTGAAGCCGGTGAAGTGGTTAAAGTTTGGTCTGTCCCCATGAGCCCATCCCCCCCCCAATGGTAGCTTGCACAACTTTACCACCCCATCCCCTTAAAAATAAAGAAAACAATAATAGCCTAACAACCACCCCCCCCACACACACACACACACACACACACACTTCAGCACACCACCGCAGACCATACACCACCCCTCCATCTGAATTTAACAAGACACAACATACACAAACACACACAGACACAGTTCTGGGCTCGGACAACTAACCGACCCGTCTCACCGGCCGACACGGAACCGTTGTCCTCGGTGACCCGCCGTGCGCAACTCACCCCCTCGGCTGTATTCCGCTGGAAAGTGTTTCAATGGAGGACCAGCGCAGAATAAGCAGTGTAGTGTCTCCCTCCGCCTCGCTACAGGCAGCCATTCATTGTGACTGTATGCTGTGAACCAGCAGCCGGAGCACGCACACAATTCCTGCAAACACGTACATACTTACACGTGCGCGCGCGAGGCGGGGGGGGGGGGGGTGCAAGCACGCACGCAAGCACTCACACATGCAGGCTTGGAGATGAGCGCAGAACTATCGAGGAGGGGGAGGAAACCGGGGGGGGACGCAGAGGAGGTGAGCGGTGATTTCTCCCAGGGGTTGCAGACAGATCGCAGAGCTACCGATCGGCGGGACAGACAGACAGGTAGACAGACAGACAGATGAGGTGGCACCGTCTCATTAACGTTAACTGTAAGGATGGGTGCTGTGATTTCAGATGACACTAGTGAGTGTTTTTTAAATTAGGGAGGAGAGAAACTTCCCTTCCCCAAAATATGTATATTTCTTTACGTTTTTAACAACACAACGACACACATGACCTGGTGATTATTAAAGTCAATAAATAAAGCTGTGTTAGTGTTATAATAATAAAATAAAAAAAAAGAGAGTTAAAAGGTGAGTTTACCTGGCTGGTTATCACAACAGACCTCATTATATTACCTTTGGCACCAAGGCACATCAGTAGCAATGACTGAAGGTAAATCATAGGCTCACCTCCACACTCCATGTGTTTTAATTAATATAAATATAACTTGGTAGAGGCGCAATAACGTGGATGAGTCATGGCAGAAAAGTTGAGTTTAGTGCACGTGGAAATACAGGGGGGTTTTATCCAGTCACAACAATACTGAGATAAATAAAATCACTCCTTTATTTATTTGTTGATATTTTGTTTGTATTTTATTTTGAAGCCCATACGAGACTAGAAATCATATTTTGGTATATATTGTCTAATGTCACGAGAAATGTAACAAATCAGAGGTAATGAGATTACATTTGAAGGAGTAACTGATTACACAATTTGAGCCCACGCGCCGCTGCAGGCAGGTAGACAGGCACAGCGTCCCCAGCCGACCCGACTGTCTGAGCCCCACCCACCAGTCCACCCACTCAACCCACTCCCCTTTCACTACTCACCAGAGTGTCTTCTCCCTCGGGTGGCGGAACCGACTCTCTCCTCAAACCGACACCGCGCACAGGGTCGCCGGTTCGATCCCGCTTTCTTAATGTGTGTGTGTGTGATAGCGCGTCTAGACTCCGGGCAGGTGAGCCCTCCGGGGCCTCCAGGCGCTGCGCACAGTGAATACTAAACAGGATGAGACTGCATTCAGGCACGGCACTGCGCTCCCCGCTCTCTCTCCCTGTCATGCCAAATACTATTAACTCTATAATTCTCCTGTGTCAGATGTATAGCGCCACGCTCTCTGGGCATTTATTGTCACAGCGCCCCCATCCAGATGTTCAGGCTCGTGTGCATACAGTAGAGGCAGATTATTTTTTTAAATTTTTTTCTCACCCGACCTTTCCATCCACAGTCATCCATGTCCCTATTTTATTGCAACTCAAGCTGCAACATAAAACAGCGTGAGGGTGGATGATGAGTGATGATGAGTGTGAAATGCTTTGAAGGTATATTGCTTTTTAAATGTAGGTCATGGATTTATCACACACACATACTGTCTGTGAGGTGGTTGGAGGGGAAGTCTTCTGCTCGTGCATAAAAGTGATAAAATATGCTGAATTACAAGCAGGAGTTTAGAAAAAGTCCCCCCCCAGAAAAACACCACTTTTAAATATAGTTTCAGAATAAAAGGTCTCTCTTTTTTTAAAATTATTTAGATTTTAATCACATTTATATATATTTTTATGTTCCGGGAGATCATTTCTGAAGCCTGTTTATTTATCTTGCTGACCTACCTCGGTCACATTACATCAACTGACCGATATTGTGCGTATAATTAGTTAGGGGGGGGGGCCTGTTTCAGTAGCAGAAATACTTTATTGATCCAAGAGGGGATACAAAATAGAAATATAATAAGGGTCTAAGTATGTACCTTATAATAAAACATATACAATATATGACAATATATGTTTATTTTGCACATTACAGAATATCAAACAAGTGAAGTGACCTCTTTTCTAAACAACACAATCTCTTTATTGTCCTTAAGCAGCCATAACGACCTGAATTCACTTTCCTGTTCCCGTGTGACCTGCACTGACCTTATTTTATCTCCCATCAGGGTCTGGGATATTTTGGTTAATCCATAGGCTATGTTTAGCCTTTTCATCAGCATGCATCAACAACTTCAGGCACGGTGAGATTAAATTAGATTATTCATGAAAGCAGACTGATGTGTTTTCCAGTCTCCTCACATGTTCACTGTGGGGGGGGAAAGTAGGCCAGTGTGTGCAGCGGCTGACTGATCGACCCTCTCTCCCTCTTGTCCTTACATTACACCGTCCCCCCTGACACTACTCGACTCCGCCGGAGGGGCGTGCACGCAGCGCTGTCCGCTTCTCTGTCTTTATGGGCCGTGCGGGTTTCCGTAGAGGCGCTCCAAAACATGGCTGCTTCCATGTGCTAACGTGAGAGTAAACCGTGAACCGGACAGTGTGGCGGTGAGGGAACTGTTACCGAAAGACCACCGGTGTTGCTTTATTTACAATAAACCCCCCCCCTTGACATATAAGGAAGGCACTATCCGCCTAGAGGGGGTGTCACAGGTAAATACAAGGTTTAAAAGGAGTAGACTTTGTTGGGAGGAAGTCGCTAGCGTTATGCTTCTTTTTTTCTTTCTTTCTGTCTTCTTCAGTTGCTTACATTCATTCAGCCGGTTTAATTAAAGTGACACAGAGTCCTTGTAGATGCAGCTGTATGGAGACAGGTCGGCTAACGTGTTGTTGTATTGAAAGACACGAAGCTGAAGGTAATGAAGCTAAAGCTACAAGTCAAACTGGCTACTGCTACTTTCTTTTGTTTATAGAGCTGTAGGAGGTGTGTGTGTGTGTGTGTGTGTGTGTGTGTGTGTGTGTGTGTGTGTGTGTGTGTAAAATGGGTGTTTTGTTGTTACACGTCCAGGTGAAGTTCACTTGCAGACCTTCATTCCCAGCAGTCTGATAATAATCGATGGGGAAATTGTTAGACTGAAAAGCAGTTTTTGAGTTGTGTGTCGAGCTAAAAGCATTCATTGGTTGGCCTGTTTAAAACAAAGATGGTTCCTGAGCAGCTGTAGAGGTCAGATTTCAATATTTAATGCATGAATTAGTTAATTCCAATGATTCTGGTTCATTAAGAAAAGTATTCAGAAGATGAGCCGATAATGAAACTGAATGCTTGTGTCTGTGTTTAATTTAGCTGATGTAATATTCATCACAAATCATCTAGAGGTGGAGTAATGGGTTGTATCAGAGGTTGATTTAATGTGTTCATACAGGCTGATAACCAAATCCAAAAGCTAAACTAGAGCCCGGCTGATCCATTGTTTTCTGTTTTCTTTTTTATATTTAATTTTTTTGGCATTAGCCTCAAAAATCCAATGTCGGACTCGCTCTACATTTAATCTGGAATCTTTTTTTCATAACATTTTTGCAACATTCAGACATGTTATTTGTCTTTTTACAGCGGGGTGTACCTCCATGCTGGTGTGCAGTTCTCGGCTATTCTCCCTCATTATTTCCCATCATCCACCTCCTTCCTGCATCCGTTTTCCCAGACAGACGTTTTGGTCAAGCTTAGTCAGTGCTGCTTCTGCCAGCAAACGACTGAGATCCATGGATCCCCCGAAAACTGCTGAGGCCCCTGATATTCCCACCACCAAACCTCCTCCCACACCTTCAGCAGAGAGCATGAGCCCGGCACCCACCGACGCGGCAGCTGATGAGGAGCAGCCGCGCCTTGAGGGACTGTTACCTGGGGAGACGGTGGTCAAGGAGGGCAAGGCAGCCATCTTGTTTCCAAGTGCTAATGAGGTGTTTTACAACCCAGTGCAGGAGTTTAACAGAGATTTGACGTAAGCATAAACGCACTTAAATACTTCATTCAGTATGAGGTGATACAGTACGGTGATCTTTGAGCCAGTCAACAATTTGCCATGATTCAACATACAGTATACTTAACAGTGTGTGTGTGTGTGTGTGTGTGTGTGTGTCTTAGAAACTTGTAACAACTTCTATACAACTTCTTCGGAACAGCGATAAAACAAAGAGTATAGTAAAGGCCAAATGTAGTTTAACAGGAGCAGAAGTATGAAGAAGTGTTCATGATGTTGTTGTAGCGTCGCCTATAGGCAAAATGTCATCAAATTAGCGGGAAATCTACATAGGAATGAATTAACCTTTTGTGCCTCCTAGTTATATAAATAGCCAGTGGCCACATGGTGTCGCCTTCTGGACCAAAAGCAAATTATTTCTCTGAGATATTCTGCTAACTACAAAACAACACACAGGACTGAACACCTAGCAGGAAAAAAAAAAATCACTGTCAGCAAGATGTTTTTTCTTAGTCTTACACATCATATTTTTGATTCTGCAGCCAGTTTTTACCTAGCTGGCTCTGTTCTGTTTCACTCCATCACACCATCACAGTGTGCCAGTCATGCTTTGAACTTTTGTTTTTCACAGTAGAGACAAGCCTACAGTACCTCCTTCAGTACTGAAGAACCCACACACTTAATATGTATAAATATGGCACACGATTTGTGATTTAAAACCAAAGACAGACTAGAATGAAAGCAAATGTCATGAATATTTAGTAAGTTCTGTTGTTTTCCCCGTTATGGTAGAAACGGTACATGCTCCCATATAAGCGACAATCTTCCCTTCTCAGATGTGCTGTGATCACAGAGTTTGCCAGAGATCTGCTGGCTCAGCGCGGGGTGAAGGTGGTGGTGCCTGGAGAGAAAGAAAGGGTGGTGGTCTCTCTGTCAGAGGAGGCGAACGAGGCCGACGTACAGACGGAGGAAAAAAACGGAGCAGAGGAGCCAGCTGTAACTGTGACAGCTGGGGAGAAATGTGAGGTACGTAGGGCTGATTTTACACTGTAATTGTAATGTAGCAGATTTAATGCTACAATTATCTTCCTACAAGAATTTCAACTAATTGAATTTATTAATGGAAATAATCTACTTTAAAAATATGTCCAGTTTTACTTAGATCTTGTCTTATGTTCATTTATTTCTCTGCTACAAATACATATTATTTTTCTCCAAATCTGATGTTAACTAATTTTCCCTTCGTGTTTAATTACAATTTTGAAAGATACTACTGTGGTAGTAGATAGTGGGGATCATAATAAACATAGACAGCAACCAAAACTAGAAATTAATGAAAGTAGAGCAAGACAGAAAAAGTATGAAAAGGTAATTTTTTTGACAAATCCCACGTTCTGATGCTGTGAGTGTGGTTCTGTAGCTCGGAGTAAGGTGCTAACACTGTCAGGGTTAGTGGTTTAAGTCCCACTGGGATTCTATGCTAAAAATATACACACTGATGCCAGCGTAAAGCAGCTTGGATAACTTCCATCAAATAACTTATGTCAATGTTGCACCAGGTAATTTCACACTCTGGTGGCACCAAGTGGTAGAGAGAGGTAATTAGATCAGTTTTTGAAACTTTTAAAGGATTTCATTATGTTGAAATAATGTCATTTGATTTCTGTACGGACCTGAGTTTTATTTTCTTGTTTACTAACAGATGTGCAGTCATTGTTGGTGGTGATTCTCTCTGGAGGGAGTGATCAGATTTGTCTGCTTCAATTCACCAACTAGATTAGATGTAAAAATGATGTTCTTAGTGGAAGATGTACAACTTCTGAACTACAGGAGAGAGGAAAACTCTCAGTTACATTTTCTGTTACAACCATTGGTATTTAGCTTGTGTTACTGCAGCTTTATAGTTGCTATAATCTATAGTTGTAATAGTATTTGAATCAAATTACATTTATGTGAAAAGAGTTGCTCTTGTGTTAAACCCATGGTGAACTCTAAGGCTCTTTTTAGCGTCTTTCAGCTCATTGTTTTGGTTTTACAGCCCGCAACTTTACCGTTTTGGTTCACTGTTACTGCTCTCATCAGCCTTGTTTCCAGATGAAGCAGACAGTAGTTTCCAGTGAAAACGATGAAATAAATTGGCTGTTTGCTGCCCAAATGGCGGACTAACAAATTGACTAGCAGGTGAATATTTTATAGCTTTTAGCAAAGACCCAGTTATTTTCCTCAGGAATTGGTAGATCTAAAGCAGATCTAAAAGAAGAGTGAATATTGGACTTAGATTCATCAACTGGACGACTTCAAATGAATGCTAATGTTGCTTCATGTCTTTCAGATGTGTAAATATGTAAACGTTTGCTATATCGCTAACGTTATAGCGTTGGGAATGTGCAGTGTGGTATTTGCAGCTTGTTTCTGCTGCCCCCAAGTGGCCAAAAAATTCTCTATTAATGCAGGTTTAAGGTTGTATTCTCGACCCTCCGTTTCAGCGCGGTCTTCGTGTGCTGGAGGGTCTGGCGGCATCCGGGCTGCGCTCTGTGCGTTTCGCTCTGGAAGTCCCGGGCCTGCGGAGCGTCACCGCCAACGACTTCTCCACCAAGGCTGCGGCACTGATCGCAAGGAATGCCCAGTACAACGGAGTCAACCACCTGCTCCAGGCCAGCTGCAGGGACGCCAGGTATGATTACTCAGCACGTTCAGGGAAAGGCTCGTAAGAAATGCTGGTCTGCCTCTGCCTCTTGTTATTTATCTGCTTCACTGATTCGCTGTCCGTGTGTTCCTCTCGGGCTTCTCTCATCTTCATTCCTCTCCAGTCTTCACCTTTGACCTCTTGTTCTATTCATTCCTCTGCTCCTGTTCCCATCTCCTCCGCTCTTGTCTCTTCGCTTTTCTTCTTTTCTGAAGTCCTTCTTTTAGTCGTGTCGCTCTCCTCCTTTTCTCTTCTTCATGCCTCTCTTCTTCTGTCTTCTTCAGTTGTTTCTCCTCTTTCATCTCTGAACTAATCTGCTCTCCTTTTTTAACTGGCTTTGACTCATCTTGTTTCTAGCCCTCTCTTTTCTCCTCTCCTTTCTGCTCAATTTCAATATTATTATCTGTCTCTGTACTTTCTGTGGTCATGGATGTGGATTTGTTTAACATTTATTTTCTTTCCTTTTTATTTTTCTCCAGTATGCTGATGTATGAGATGCGAGGGAAAAAGGAGCGTTACGATGTAATAGATCTGGATCCCTACGGTAGCCCTGCCTCCTTCTTAGATGCCGCTGTGCAGGCCGTCAGTGAAGGAGGTGGGTAGTTCGGTCTGTCAGTCATTCACCCAACCCTTCTGCGCTTCATTCTTTTGTCTCTGAGTCTGTTTTGATAAGACAAGATAGACTTGATTGATCCCACACTGGGGAAATTCACTTTTGGGTTTGATAAACTACCGTTCCACAGTATTACCAGCATCTTCATCCAAGTGCGTTTCTGATCATCATGCTGTAAATTTGGAAAGCTGATTTTAAATCACATTTCATCTATATTAATAGTCTCAATGAAACAGTGTCACACTGGACAATTGGCACACTGGCAGTTTTTGGGAGTACCAGAATTGGATCCTTTCTGTCTCAGTTTAGCCTCTGAGAAGATCATCTGGATAAACAGGAATGTCATTACAGTAGTGTTGTGTGTTTACTATGACCATCCATTTTACATATTTACCTTAATAAATTGGGGCCTCAGTAGCTCAGTCTGTAGAGACTCGGCTTGGGAACTGGAAGGTGGCTAGTTAGGTAAAAATATTTCCTCATTAATAAAGTAAATCTTATTCTTCTAAAGATAAGATTTCTGTGGCCTCTCTACAGATGTTGTACCCACCGTCTTTTCTTTTTGAAGCTGATGAATTAAAAAATTAACAGTTGCATTTCTTTTTCAGATAAAAGCATAAAACATGGCAGCTATTATGTGTCATTTTAAAACAATATTACTTTTCTCAATACTAATCCATCCCTGAAAGAAATTTGTTTTCTTATGGATTTGGTTGACATTCATAAACGTTTATTTGCTTTCACTAAGTGAAGGAAATGCACTCAAATTGCATTTTATTTTTCATGACATTTCAAAAATTGGCATGAAATGAGCTTGAGAGTTGAATCAGAAGTAGGTCAGATAGTGTTTGTGAAATAAGTCTTGTTTGGTTTTTTTTTTAAGTCTCACAAAGAGTCTTCTGTATAGGACAGTACAATGAATGATGTTTAGACTCAACAGCCAATTTGACATGATCAGAACTGCCCTGATATGACAATCTCCACCCATGTGCTGCAACCAGAAGGTTCAAACAAACACTAAGAGTTACTTTAGTATACTAAGTAACCTCATTTTTAAAAGTAGTAATTTATATTCCTGTTCTTCTGTTTTGTCTCTTTGTATCTTTGTTGACTGACTCACCCTCTGTGCTTTTTCCTTTTCTCAGGTCTGTTGTGTATAACATGTACAGACATGGCGGTGATGGCAGGAAACAGTGGAGAGACCTGCTACAGCAAATACGGTTCAGTCTCTATCAAAGCCAAATACTGTCATGAAATGGTAAGGACACTCACTCATACACAATGCACATATAGTACATGCACAGACATGTCGGTGTTTGCACCCATAATATTTGTGTGTGGCTCTGACAGGAACACATTAAATGTTGTCATGGGTTCTGGCCTGAGGCTGTAAGTTGGTAGAATTGGGTTTTTTGTGTCTGTGTGTGCTTGCTTGTATTCGTATACTTATTAAGGGAGTTTTTTTGTCTTAAGAATAGAAAGATGAAGGAAAATCATCCAGACTGATGACAGTTACTGCTCCTGGCGTCTTTTTAAGTAATGAGGCTTATGATTTCAGTTGTGGTTGCTTTGGTGACCCTTCTGGTAAAAGCAAGTGTGGTTTATTATTGCAAGTCTCAGAATTCAAAAGGCAGCTGCTTTGTCAGAAATACAACAGGAGACCAGCTGATCTATCGGTTTATAGTGCAGCCAAACCAACTGATCTTAAATCATGCTGCGCTTGGTGCAAGTAGTTTTTCGCACAACAGCAGGGCACAGTTAAGTTATTCCCCTTGATGAGGCGCTGAAGGTACCCAAGCCTGTCGCCTGCAGCTCTTCATCTGCAACTCGCTGTGTGGCTGCTCCCCTTTGTTCCATTACTCCCTGCAATATTTAAAACTGATTCTCTGTCAAAAAGGACAAAAAACAATGAATGATCCAGGCTGGCACTAACTTCGGTTGAAAATCCATTTGTAAAAGCGACCCTGTGGTTTCATCAACACTTAATGTGAACCAACAGCAGTAGGAAATGGCAATGAAAACTACTATATAGAGAAGTCATTTATAAATACATTGAATGGCTATAGCTGGGGAAAAAAGCAATCACAGTTTGATTGTAACTGTAATTTTGAATTTGAAGATAACTCTGGCGTACCCCAGTGGTAGTAACAGAAAAACTGGGACTGTAGCAGGCAGCAAAACACAAAGTCAGGGACACAAAGCTAAGACGAATGAGCTTCGAATGAGCAACTCATAAAGTACATCATTTTTCACCGGGAACGTGAAACCAAACCAAAAACAAAAGCTTTCTCAATCTGAATAATTTGACAGATGATTTAATCGCATTATAATCCCAACATAATGGCTTGAACTGATTTGCTTCTGGTTTGGGAGGATAAATTAACAGACAGTAATGCACCTGGAGCTTCTGCAGCGATTGGTGCTGCTGGCTGATGGATGGTACGTTTGTTAGATTTTCTCAAACCTTGCATACACAGCCCGCTCGGCCAAAAGCTTCTGTACATTTTCTCATTTTCAGTTTAATTTTTAACCACACCTATGCATGCACTAATATTAACGTATACACAAAGGCACATGAACTCTCCCTAGTTTATAGAGATTCAAAAAATGCTGCGTTTTTCCATCACAAATAACAGTTTAATATTAGTGGATACTGAAGACGTTGGCGTTAATCATTATATATATCCGTCAGTCAAGATATTTTCAGGCATTACGATGACACAAATACTCCTCATTGTCTGAGTAATTAATTATTTTCATGTAAGTGAGAAGTAAGACTTCAATAATGAGATTAGACATATTAGTGTTTTTAGTTTATTATCTTCATTGAGCCCTGCAAATGGTGAAGAAGATCAGACTTTCTCAGACGTTTCACATGAAGAAACAAAAGAATGTTTGTGTCTCTCTTATTCTCCTGCAGGCTCTTCGGATCATCCTCCACAGTTTGGAGCAGAGGGCAGGGGTGTACCAGCGATACATCCAGCCTCTGCTGTCCGTCAGTGTTGACTTTTACATCAGGGTCTTTGTACGGGTCTTCACAGGACAGGCCACAGTCAAAAACTCAGCCAGGTGCTCTCTCTCTCACACAGACACACACAAACACTAACACACTAATACACACACATATACTGTACTGTCTTCTAACAAAGGCTGATATATGATGAAAGTTGAATGAACTGAAACTGGGTCACTGCAGCAACAAACACTAAAAATAATGGCATCGGCAGCAGAATTTGGTGAGATAAAGAAAAAAAAAATGAATGTAAGAGAATGAATGAATGTAATGTTGATTATTTATGTGAAGGAGGAAAGAGAAGCAGAATCAATATGAGAATAGTGAATAGTGTGATTACAGGATGTATTAACATGCCTGTATATGTATGCACATTTACTAGCACACATGCTTACATATGTACACAGTATTTAAAGCTTACATTACATTTATTTCTCGTGTTGCAGTAAACAGGCCCTGGTCTACAACTGTGTCGGCTGCGGGTCTTTTCACTTACAGAGAATGGGCAGGAGAACAAGCAATGGAAAACAGTAAGACAGTCAACGCTGTACAACTGCGTCTTTATGCTGTTTATTTCACATGAAATGAAAATGTAAAATGAAGGGGTGGCTAGCAGCAAACTCACCGGCTTAAAATCCAACCTTTCAGACTCTTGGCATTTTGGCCGACGGTTTGAGACATCAGGTCTAAAATGTTAAAGGGCACTATCAATGTTTGGTGTCAGTGCCTTTGTACAGACATTCATGTTCTCAGGTTAAATTGTAATCACTTTGGGGATCCCTTAACCTTTCCTCTAGCGCCATCATCAGGTCTAAATCTCAATACAGGATCGTCTTTTTAACCAAAAGTAGAAAAATGAATGACATTCCCATGAGCCTCAGATGTACGTTGTGTTTAGTGCTAATGATAGCTTATTAACATGCCAAACTAAGACAGTAAATATAGTGAACGTTAGTTGTATTAGTGTTTATTGGTTGTGTCTGTGTCTGGCTGACAGCATGTGTGTAGTAAAGCTGAATCTGCTGGTTTTAGTATGTGTATATTTTATATATTTCAGTATGAAGTATTCTCCTGCCACTGGGCCCCCAGTTGGACCAGAGTGTGAGCACTGTGGACAGAGACATCAGGTGAGACACCTACAACACTTACATACACACACATTCTATATTCATGGTTATACAGATAAAACCTGTTTATATTTGCTTGTTTTGTTGATTGTCAGGGTTTCATTTTGCATGATGCGGCGTCAGTCTGTAAATTCTTTACACCTAATTCATGTTTTCTCTCAGGATGGCCTTTATGAACTGTGTGGAAACTCTGTGTTTGTAGTTATTACTGTGCAAACCCATACACGTACTGTACAACACACCAGCTGAAGCCTGTGTCTGTCCTCTCTGTAGCTGGGTGGACCCATATGGGCCGAGCCCATCCACAACCTGCCATTTGTCCAGAAGGTCTTGTCCGCTGTGTCGGGGAACCCGTCCAGATTTGGGACGTCCAAACGCATTGAGGGCATGCTCAGCATGGTGACTGAGGTATTAAATGTCCTTTTTATATACGCTGTCATTATAGGGCTTGTTTTCATACGTTGCTATTGTCATGAGGGTGTGGTTCGTTGCATCAGGTAACGTCACATTGTGTGTTTTTTTTTTTTTAATGGTCTGATAATTCTTCCTGACTGACAGCTTCTTCCTGCTAGATTAAAGCATCATCACCTCTGATGTGCTGTTTATTTCAGGAATTAGAAGATGTTCCTCTTTATTACACCGTGGACAGTCTGAGCAGCACGATACACTGCAATACTCCACCTCTGCTCCAGTTTAGGTAAACACACACACACACACACCATACAAATGAGTATACAGT